AGTGTTTTAGAGGGAGATTATTTTAATTACAACACACCTTTTCAATAGACTACCAACAATAATTATAAACTTTAAGAGTCTCCTACAGAATATTACATCTTTCTACCCAAAAATATAATTTAAGAAAAAAATAATTTATAGAGTCATTGGATGTGTATGTTATGTACACAACTAAGACCAAAATAAGGCCAAACTTGGTTCGTGAGCACATAAATACATATTTGTGGGCTACTTAAATACAAAAATGGGATAGAAATGTTATCACCCTCATCATATAATTTTTTTATTTGAAAATATCTCACATTTATGAATATGAATCTTATTTTGATAGATTATTAATACAAAAGATGTTGAAAAAGTAAGTAGACAAGAGGAAAGTTGTGGTAACTTTGTGTTACCACCTGAACCATCCAACATATGACTCTTAAGAATTCTCTCGTGAATCCTCAAGAAGAATCAAATACCTAGTAAAGTTATAGAAGCTAATCATGATGAAGAAGATAATCTAGAATCTTTATCCTTACATAGTCAACCCTCTATATAAGAAGACTTACTAATAGCTCTTAAAGTAGATGATATGACTTAGTCATTTTATAGTAAATCACGCAAATTTAAAATTTATAAAACTAGAAAATATAAATTTTTGGATATTTAGAAGTACTTATGAACAAATATATCAATTATAATTCAATAAAAATTTCAAAAATAATGATAATTTTTCAAGTCGATCACAAAGATGTAATATAATATCAGGTAATTATTCAGATTTTTTTTCAAAACGTACTATTTTCTATGAATTTTATACTAGGAAATGAAAATAAAATATATTTAAAAATCATAAAAAAAGGAAATAAGGGTGCGAACATTAGGATGACGTCAATACTTGGCGAACGCAAATCGGGCAGAAATAAATTTCTATCTGGTGATTCTTACATAAGTGATTACAAATGATTTAATCGATCAAATTAAGATTTATAAAAACTAAAAGAATCATAATTGAATGACGTATAGGTTGGTAAATTTAAAATCAGTAAATTATCACTAAATGAAATAGATATTAAGTTGAAAGTAGGAAAACAAAGTTTTGACGTCGCAGTGGCAATACATTGGCAATGCATCGAAATCCTAAACATTCGAAAAGATCGTCGTGTAGTGTCTATGACCTCAAAGGCTCTCCTTAGACAAAGACAATGTGGGCGATCTCTAGATCTCTTTACAAAGTCTAGAGATCAATGAAATGGGTCGTCAAATTGTCTCAAATGGCTATCACTCGACAGAGCAAAAAAACAACGACTTTGTTACTCTCTAGCGGCTGTCACCTGATGAAGAGGAGTTAGATGGAGGTGAGGTGCATGTTAGAGAGCTTCATCCTCAGGTCCACGCAACAAGAGGAGGCTCTTCATCGCATCCGATATGCTCTCAGGAGGTGGTGACTCATCTCTTGACGGATCGTCCTCTTCTCGACGATGACTTATTTGTCGATCAATCGAAGATGCTTTACTCGATGAATTCGCAATCCTTATATCACGAATCATTCAGTAATTTTAAAAACAATATTCCACGAATTATGTTGACGAGATTTTTGTTGATGATCTAATGATTTTAGTTACTGAATCATTCACTAGTGATCTGTAGGAAAGTCACGATAATCTAATAAAAAATATGAGTTTTGGCTCTAGGAGGATTCGAACCCGCGTCAGTTGCCTGCCCTTTCTAGGGAAGGTGTGACGTGGGTTTAGTCCCACATCGCTTATGCACCAAAGTTTCTATCGAATATATAGTAATATTACATTTTCAATCAAGTCCCTTTCTCACGTGTGTACGGCCACTCCTTGCCCCACAACTAGCTGGCCACTAGTGACGTGGAAGGGGAGTGGCACACACGTGCCCCTATCGCTCCTAGCCACTTGAGCCCCTACTCGTGGCTCCTCCTTGACTGTGCTTTCAACCCGCTTGAGGGCTCGGCTGGTCAATGAGTCCCTCTCATTTTGTTATATTTTTATTTTTATTTCTTTTTCTTCATTTATCTCAAAAGTAAGATTATAAAAATCATATAAATTCGTATAAAATCACATAATTACTCAAAAATTCACGTTAATCAACTGAAAACCACTTTTCACACTTTAACACAAATATAAGTTTATTTATCATAAGCTAAGGCTAAAACTATATTATTTACTAATTATTAACTTATGATAATGAAGACTTATCAGTAGCCATTTTGATATATTATCTAATGAAAAAGAAGCTGAAAAAAAAGGTGGACAAGAAGAAAGCAATGCAACAATGTGTTGCCACCTAAATTATACAACATACCCATAACTCTTAAGGATTATCTCATAAATCCTCAAGATGAATCAAAACTCTTAGAGAAACTAAAACAACCTAGTGAAGTAATAAAAGTTAATCATGATGAGGAAAATAATCTAGAGTCCTCATCCTCACATAGTTAACCCTTTATATAAGAATACTTATAGATAACTTTAAGGAAAAAAGAAAATATTTTAAGAATCTCATAAATTTAATTTCTATTTTTTATCATAAAACTATTTAGTACCTATCGAACCTTTTTTACTTCACTTAACATCATTACTTTTTCATTTGATACTTCATATGCTTTACAATGCATATAATGGAAGCATGTTATGGATGAGGAAATGAGAGTATTGAAATAAAATCAAACTTAGGAACTAGTTAGACTCCCTCAAGGGAAGAAAACCATAGAATGTAAATGAGTTTTTATTGTTAAATATAAACCAGATGATAGTTTAGAAATATATAAACGTAAATTAGTAGCCAAAGGATACACTAAAATGTATGGTATTAATTATCTAGACACTTTTTCCCATGTTACAAAATAGTTGAAAGATTAAAATAGTGGGAATTTTAATTTTTTTATCAATGTATTATAGTTGAAAGATTCATCAATTTGATATCAAAAGTTTATTTTTTTATATGGAGAATCAGAAGAGTAAATCTATATAGATCTTCCCACTAGATATGAGAAGAGAAAAAATCAAGAAATTATATGGAAGTTAAAGAAGTCACTTTATGATCTCAGACAATCACCACAAGTATGGTTAGAAAAATTTACTAAAATTATGTGTACTTTGAGATATAAACAAAGTAATAGAGATCATATTTTGTTTATTAAACACTCATCTTCATGAGAAATTACAACCCTCTTAATGTATCTGAATGATATATTAGCGACATGAAATGATGAGGATGAAAATGAGCATCTAAGTAGATGTTTACTTAAATAATTTGACATCAAAACTATTAAGAAATTGAGATATTTCCTCTAAAGTGACATATTCAAATTGAGTTATTTTTATACCTTAACAAAATACACTATATAGATGTTCTAATGAATATTAGAAAACTAGGAAGTAACTTATAAATACACCAATAGACCCAAATCATGAACTTGGTAGAGTAAAAAGAGTAATTGAGTAGACATACAATCATACCAAAGATTAGTCAAAAAATTGATTTATCTTTCTCATACTATATTTGATGTCTCTTATATTGTTAGTGTACTTAAACAATTTATGCATTGTCTTATAGAAGTTCATTTACAAGTAGTCGATAGAATATTGTCATACTTAAAAGGTACTATAGGTAAAGGTATTCTCTTTATAAAAAAAGATAATATAAGTTTAGAGGTGTACGCTAATATAGATTATGTAGGCTCTATTGTTAATCAATGATCTATCTTAGAGTATTATACTATTTTGGGTGACAACTTGATTACATGGTGTTGCAAGAAACAACAAGTGGTATTAAGATTAAACGTTGAGTCTAAGTTTTGAGTGATGTCATGTGGAATTTCTAAAGTATTTTAAATAAAAAAGAATCTTGAAAGACTTGAAGATCAAATGACAAAAATCAATCAAGTTATATTACAATGATAAATTAATCATCAACTTGCACATAATCTACTATAATGTGACTACACCAAGTATGTAGAGATAGATGGCCACTTCATCAAAGAGAAATTAGATAATAGTGTCATATATACACTCTAAGTGTCCACTCATGATCAATTGTCAGATATATTAACCTAGGGACCAAGTTGACTTATTTTCCAACATCTTTCTTTCAAGTTACAATTGAAAAACATTTATTCACCAACTTGAGGGGTAATGTTGGAGAATGTATTAGAGTTCTAGTCAAATAAAATCTAGATTTGACTCAAATAACAAAAGCTTTAAATACCTTGTATCCATCACATTTTAGAAAGTGAATGCCATTTTTCATTTTGTCTTTCTCTCTCTCTTTCTTCCTTTTTCCCTCCCAAAAGTAGAAACCCTCACAATAGTGGGGAGTTAGAATCTTGTAGTAAGGTGACTATAATAGACTACAAGTTTTGACAAACAAAGAGAGAGGTAGATAAATAGCTGGATAGAAAGAGAGAGAAAGTGGCAAATAAAGAGAGAGAGAGAGAGCAAAAGTGGCAAAGAGAGATAGATAGAGGAGTGGTGTGTGATAGAGAGAAATAGAGAGGCAACGAGTGAGAGACAAATAAAGAAATAGAGATGTAGAGAGATAGATGGAGTGAAAGTGGTAGAGAGAGAGATAGATAGATAGAGAGAGTGAAAGTAGTAGAGAGATAGAGGCAGATATATATATATATATATATATATATGGAGAGAGAGAGAGAGAGAGAGAGAGAGAGAGAGAGAGGGGGGGGGAGGGACGGTGGGTTATCGATTTCTTGGTCAGAATACATATTGGGCCCGGATAACCCAGCTTAGTTGTCTGGGAACCAGGAAACGAGGCTTCTCTCTGCTCACGTGGCTTCACCGACCGTCATCGGGCCTCTCTTCTACGGCGGCGGCGCCTCCGGTGAAGCCCTCCTAGACCTTTGGCGGGTGGACGATTACTCCGACTGTGCAAGCCCTCCCAATCCCCAAGCCAGAGTGCAGGAACTGTGGCGGCTGGAAATACTCCTCGGCGGGGGTCTCGATCCGGTGGTGGTGCGACGGACTGTGGCGATGATCCGGGCGGTGATAGTCATGAGCACGGAGGGCAAGAGTCGCCTCGCCAGATTCTACGATTATCAGGTCTCCTTAAGATTGTTCTATTCCATGGTTTTCTTTCTGTGTTTCTCTTTTCATCTTCCCTACCCAATCCTTCAGTTCGATCCTGAGAGAGTCTCGCTTGATGAATCTCAGCCGCCGGAGAAGCAGCAGGAGCTGATACGGAGATTATATGGAGGTTGCGATTCTTATTTATTGTTTCTCGTATGTGAATCTTTGGGGAATCTGGAAAAGGGGTGGTTTATAATGGTTCAGATGGGGCAGCTGCTCTTGAAGGTTTGCGGATGCTGTGAATAATTCTCATTATTTTCTTCATCTTCGAACAGTTTTATCCTCCAGGCCGGAAGGCGTTAGCAACTTCGCCCAAGTAGAAGCCATATTTGGCCCGGTATGCCATCGTTTTTTGCTCCACTCCTTGATTTATTCTAGTTTGTGGAAAGCAATATTTTGAGGGATTTCGGCAAACATACGTTCTTGCTGATCTCAAATTTTCCTCGTTAGTAGTTTCATCAGAAATAGAGGCGTTCTTTATTTCTAGTAGGAACTAGACGAGTGAGATACTACGAAGAAAAATCAAATAAAGAAGACGCTCTTTAGGCGTGTTCATTCTTATTCACCCTTTTCATGAATTTAGGGGTCTTGCATTTTAAATTGACGAACAAGCGGAGTTTCATGCATTAGCTCGTTGGTTTTAGTGGTTACTGGTTTTGCTTAGATGATTGAACTCGGTGCCTATGGATCCACAGCAATTCACATATATGGTTATATTTTAGAGTGTTCTTGCGTAGGTGGTTGAACTCGGTACCTATGGATTCACAGCAATTCACATATATGGTTATATTTTAGAGTGTTCTTGCGTAGATGGTTGAACTCGGTGCCTATGGATTCACAGGAATTCACATATATGGTTACATTTTAGAGTGGTCTTGCCTAGATTTGGTGCTTACTGATTCATAGCAATTCTTCATATATGGTTATATTTTAGAGTGGTCTTGCATAGATTTGGTGCTTATTGATTCACAGCAATTCTACATATATGGTTATATTTTAGAGTGGTCTTGCATAGATTTGGTGCTTATTGATTCACAGCAAAGTATATTTATATGCCTTCCTTTTATAGATTGGGCAGCCGCCTAAATTTCAAAATCCAGAGAGAATGGTCAACTGAAATTCGCTCTTAAGTTTCAAAATCCGGTGGTTTTGCCAGATCTTTGAGTTAGTGTCGATATACTGTTATGCATCTTACATTTATATGCCCTCATTTTATAACTTACGGAAGAAGATTAATGTCGAACTCCAGTGAGCATGATCGACCATTATCATGTTTCATTTCTCAGGTTTGAGTGTTTTCAGCAGATGTTATAATTTTTTGTCTATGTAATTACTCAATTATAATTAATGATTAATTAGTTGGTTTTATTAGTTAGGTTACATATCTGAACCTAATCTCTATATACTCACCGTATCTTCCTACCTTCCTTTTTCGTTAGAGTTATTGGGTCATCCAACTTGGAAATATCTGGCAGTGAGTGGGAACAGGCTCTGGTTTATTTCATTACTGAACAATATGACAGACCATTCATATAATTGGGTGTGCTCGACTCAAGAGGAACCATCCAACTCATAACCACTCAATTAATGAGGAATAAAATAGTTTGATTTATCATCACGTGTTTGGTAATATAATCAATTTATACAGGACCATTACACCTCATACCCTAAACCACTCAGAAACATGCGGACATGATCGTGGGCTTAAGGTAGCAGCTGAATGTCAGAATCTAGAGTGCATATTTCATTATAACCCATGATTAAATCAGTATGTTCGTATGGTTTCCATACCATTTATTTTATTTCACTCAAAAAATCTGTTAAAAACATGCCGTTTCACAGGATACACGCATGGTGTACAAGCACTATGCGACATTGTACTTTGTGTTTGTGTTTGATAGCTCTGAGAACGAGCTGGCTATGCTTGATCTGATCCAAGGTATCTGGAGATCTTCCGACGTTTAATATTCTCTGAGGGGCATTACATATATTATTAATCTCCCGCTTTTGTGGAACAGTTTTTGTGGAGACACTAGACAAATGCTTCAAGAATGTCTGCGAGCTGGACATTGTGTTCAATTTCAATAAGGTCCCATTATCCGCCCCTGTGTTTTTTTTTCCCCCATTTTTCTGGGGATTTGAAGTTTCCTTCTTGTCTGTCTCCAGATGCATAGCATTCTGGACGAGATCGTCTTTGGAGGGCAGGTGCTGGAGACCAGTTCTGATGAAGTCTTGAAGGCTGTTGAAGAGATAACAAGGTCCCCTCCACTCTTCTCCCCTCTTCTCCCCTCTTCTCCCCTCTTCTCCCTCGCCACATCACATCAGCGCCGCCCTTCTTATTCTGATGCCAGAACCGTCCCGTACAGGCTGGAGAAGTCTGCGAGCTCCGGTGGGCCCCTTCCGAAGTCCGTCGTTGGGAGGCTCAGCCGGTAGCTCATTTGAGGCAGATCAGAGGCAGTAATTCTTTTTCTTCTTAATCTGATAGATTTATTTATGTGAATATTATATAGATATGGATAATGTTCAAATTCATAGATCATTTTATTTTCTTCAAGCAGCATATCTAAACGCGGTGTGAAAAAAGGGCCTTTTAGACCTCCAAACTAGGCTTTATCACAGCTCAAAATGGGCCCAATAAGGGGATGGAGTTTTAGGCCCAAGCCCAAAAGGTAAAACTGGACCCAAGCCTGAGTTGCCAATTACCACCGTTGCTATTTCTGTTCTCTTAATCGGAATTTAAAATAAACTAAGGATTTTTATTATTATTTTAAATGTCCAAAAAGAAAATATTCGGGGCTATGTTTTTTCTGCGAGCCTCTTTAGAGCCTATATGAGCCCCACGTGTTATGTTCCCTCTGAGCTCGCCCTAGTTGGCCCATTGGGAGATTTAGATATCGGATTTATATAGGGTTTCGGATGTACTGCACTTCTGCTTAATAATTTTAAAATAAAATAAAATAAAAATAATGTGGGCCTCAGTAGGCCCACATCGGGCCAAATTGTTTTGTGATGTCCAGGCCCGGCCTGAGTATCGGTCGGGAGAGAAAGAGGAATGGATAGATAGACACAGATAGAGCGAGAGCGAGAGAGAGAGAGAGAGAGAGAGAGAGAGAGAGAGAGAGAGAGAGAGAGAGAGAGAGAGAGAGAGAGAGAGAGAGAGAGAGAGAGAGGAGAGAGAGAGAAAGAGAGAGATAGAGGGGGAGAGAGAGAGAGAGAGTGTGAGTGAAAGAGAGGAGTGAGTGAGAGAAAGAGTGAGAGTGAGAGTGAGAGGTAGAGAGATCGATATATATATATATTGTTGAAGTGGAGTAGGGGGAGGACAAGACGGGTGCGGGTCAGTGTTATTGCTGAAGTGGAGGCGGGATCATTATACGGCGACGACGGAGTGAAAGATGAACAGGCGAAGGCATATTCAGAAGGCATCTGCCCACCATTCTCGCCGGAAACCATCCCGTCGCCGGAGACGACCACCCAACCACCAGTCGACCGCACTGCCAAAAAAAGTTCAACTTTTTTATCTCTCTTCCACAAAGACGCCGCCGTTGACGGAGACCAGCGGGCCGGCGACCGGAATCACGCCGGACCTCTTATCTCCTCCGAGCCCGTCAAGTCGCACCCCGTAGAGTAGCTCTCTAGGTTAGGCCTGTCGGCTCCTCCTCATCTTTCTCTCTCTCTCTCTCTCTCTCTCTCTCTCTCTCTATTTATCTAAAGTGCGTCCCTGGGAGGAACCCACTGGAACCCCCAGAAACGGTGGCACGCCGCAGGTAGCTCATCTCCTCCGGTTGCGGCGGCGATGCCTATCCCTCGCTTTCAAAGAGTGAGAGACGTGAGTGCTTTGTGAGCCACGGGGTCAGTAATTATGCCGACAACGACCGAAGCTCCATTGACCACCTTCACCCCGATACTGGCCGCAGAGATAGAGATAGAGAAAGAGAGAGAGAGAGAGAGAGAGAGAGAGAGAGACATTTCTAATACTGTATGTTTTAAAAAATTATCTAAGATCCGAAAAAAAAGTTTTTTATATTTACGTATGGGTTTTGCGTGTCATCCGTCAAGCGATCGTCACCGTCCATTTTTTATCTCGTGAGAGAGAGAGAGAGAGAGTACATATATTATGTGTTCTAAAAAATTATCTATGACCCGAAAAATCCTTTTTTATATTTATTATGACTTTTCAAACATGCGGGTCATCCGTAAAGCGATCATCAACGTCCATTTTTAATCTCGCGATGGGCTCCTGGGACCCACAACATTCGAGACAGAGAGAGATTATTTATATTCTGTGTTTTAATAATTATCCAAGACCCGAAAAAATCGGTTTTTTATATTTACGGATGAGTTTTTTCAACTATGTGGGCCATCCTCGCCCATTTTCATCTCGTTATTCTGGGGCCCACGCACGGTCCCCGCACGTTTTCACGGCCAGCGCCAACTCGGCCACGGCTCGCCGTTTTCGCCTGCGTTCACACGGAAGAACGAGGCGCACGTGGCGACAAAAAGTCACAGGCTTAGCATCAATCTGTTGGATCCGATCCGACGGCTGTCTCTCACCTACGTTCTGACATTTCATTACCGGACGTAGAATTAATTAAATACTATCGTACTAATGGGATCAGAAGACCTGCTCTTAGAAGAACAAATGCCATTGGACACGGGCACGCCATGTAGGACAGATGATGTATGGGATTTTCTAGAAGCTCCGGGGTGTGGCAACCCATTCAAGCCCAGTGGGCCATTTTTCAGTGGGTCAATAATGGCGGTGGAGGCAGGGACGTTTTAAAAAATTTCCACTGGATAGGACAGCAGCTTCAGGATCAGTTTGCCGACCTTAATCATGTCACGACAGACATATCGGCGGACCCCACAAAGTGGGTCGGATCATATCTATTAAGATCCGAAGGGGGAAACAGAGTGATCGTTGTTCCTCCCTTCAAAACGGAATCTGTCACGACCTTCCCTCGTCGTTCAGGGGGAAATGACATCGTCTCTCCTCTCTTCCCTCCTCTTCTTCCTCCTCTTCTTCAGCGGCGGCGGCGGCGACGGCGGCGGCGCCGCCTCTGCGCAGAAACTAGATGCAGATGAGCTCCGGATCCTCCTCGAAGTGAAGATGTCCCTCGGAATCTCTGATTCCAGCCCAGGATTCGAGTCCTGGCGCCCGGATAAGTCGCCGTGCGAGTTCTCTGGCGTTTCCTGCAAGGATGGGCGGTCGGTGTCGACTATCGATCTCAGCAACCAGCGGCTTGGGGGAACGATTCCCTTTGGATCCATCTGCAGGCTTCCGTCGCTCGTCAAGCTGTGGATGGGATCGACTGGTGTTTCGGGTAATGTCAGTGCCGATATCGGGAGATGCGGGAATCTGGAGTTGTTGGATCTCGCCGGGAATTCTCTATCCGGCGTTGTTCCTGATCTGTCATCCCTTCAGAAGTTGCAGGTTCTGAATCTCTCTGACAATGGATTCACGGGGAGTTTCCCCTGGCGTTCACTTGCTCGTATGCCCGCCCTGAACTCCCTCAGCCTCGGAGACAACCCGTTCGATCCGACCGGCTCCTTCCCTGAGGAAGTATTGAATGTGAGCACGCTTACATGGCTCTATCTCTCTAACTGCAACATCCAAGGGCGGATTCCGCCGGCGATTGGTCGATTGACGTCTCTGGTCAATCTGGAGCTCGCCGACAACTTCCTATCCGGCGAGATTCCCCAAGAGATCACCTATTTAACGCGTCTCTGGCAGCTGGAGTTGTACAACAACTCGCTTACTGGGACGCTCCCAGTGGGCTTCAGGAACCTCTCCAATCTCGTCTACTTCGACGCCTCAATGAACAAGCTGGAGGGGAACCTCTCAGAGATCAGGTTTCTCACCAAGCTCGTTTCCCTCCAGCTTTTTGAGAACAAATTCATCGGGGAGGTGCCTCCGGAGCTGGGGAACTTCAAGGACCTCATCAACCTCTCGCTGTACACGAACCAGCTCTCCGGCAGTCTCCCAAAGTCGCTCGGCAGCTGGGCAGATTTCGACTTCATCGACGTCTCCACCAACTTCTTAACGGGGCCGATTCCGCCGGACATGTGCAAGAAGGGTACAATGAAGAGGCTGCTGATGCTGGAGAACAGATTCACGGGAGAGATTCCGGCGGCCTACGGGAATTGCACTTCTCTCCTCCGGTTCCGTGTGAGCGAGAATTTGCTCTCCGGCGAGGTCCCTGCGGGGATCTGGAGCCTTCCCAAAGTCAACATCATCGATCTCTCCATGAACAATCTCTCGGGTCCCGTCGGTTCTGGGATTGGAAAAGCTGAGGCCCTCTCGCAACTCTTCATATCCCACAACCAGTTCTCAGGCGTGCTTCCGGGGGATATCTCGGGTGCCTCCTCCCTCGTGTCCTTAGACGGCAGCTACAACCAGCTTTCCGGAGGGATACCAGAGAGCATCGGCGGTTTGAAGACCCTCGCCAGCCTACACCTGCAGGGGAACAGATTGGGCGGCGAAATTCCGGCGTCCTTGGGTTCCTGCTCGTCCCTGACACAGATCAATCTTGCCGAGAATTTACTCTCCGGCCACATCCCTGCCAGCATCGGTGGCCTTTCCAATCTCAACTCTCTGAATCTTTCAAACAACGGCCTATCTGGCGAGATCCCGGCGGCCCTATCATCGCTGAGATTGAGCGAGCTCGACTTGTCGAGCAACTCTCTGTCGGGAGAAGTGCCGCCGGAGCTGGCTGTGGAGGCCTACAGCGGAAGCTTCTCCGGGAATCCTAACCTCTGCAGCTCTCATGCCCGCTTCCTACGCTCCTGTTCTTCCTCTTCATCTGCGCACTCGTCGGACAAGCTCCGGACGGTGCTCACCTCCTTGGCAGTGGGTGCCCTCGCCGCCATATCCATTATCGTCTACGTCGTCTACATGAAGAAGAAGGGGAAGAAGAAGCTGTCCGGGAGAGAAAGGGGCAGGCTTATCTCGACAGATTCCTGGGACATGAAGTCTTTCCAGATCGTCAGCTTCGACGAGCAGAAGATCCTCAACGCCATCCGCACAGACAACCAGATCGGCAAGGGCGGCTCCGGCAACGTCTACCGCGTGGATCTGGGAAATGGGCAGGCGGTGGCGGTGAAGCACATCTGGAACAACTCCGAGTCCAGCGAGTCGCCGGCGAGGGCGCTCAAGCGAAAACCTCCGGCGATCTCCAAGGAGTTCGATGCGGAGGTGACCGCTCTCAGCTCCATTCGTCACATGAACGTGGTCAAGCTCTTCTGCAGCATCACCAGTGAAGATTCGAGCTTGCTGGTGTACGAGTACCTCTCCAATGGCAGCCTCTGGGACCGGCTTCACTCCGGCGATGGAGGCAAGCTCGGCGGCCTCGACTGGGACACCCGGTACGAGGTGGCCGTCGGCGCGGCCCACGGCCTCGAGTACCTCCACCATGGCCTTCAGCGCCCGATCCTCCACCGCGACGTCAAGTCAAGCAACATCCTCCTCGACGAGTCCTTTCAGCCCCGCATCGCCGACTTCGGAATAGCCAAGATCCTCCACGCCGGCGCCGGCGACGGCAAGGGCCCATCCTCCACACACGTCGTCGCCGGCACCCTCGGCTACATCGCCCCAGGTCAGTTAGTCACCCCCATATCAACCACCACCACCACCACCACCTCGTTAATGGCGACGACAACCTTAGCTTCAACTTCAACTCTTTCTTCCTCCTTCCTCCCTCCCTGCAGAGTACGCCTACACAGAGAAGGTCACCATGAAGAGCGACGTGTACAGCTTCGGGGTGGTGCTGCTCGAGCTGGTTACAGGGAGGAGGCCAATCGAGCCGGAGTTCGGGGAGAACAAGGACATCGTCCACTGGGTGTGCAGCAAGATGACCCTCAGAGATGGGTTTCTACAGCTGCTCGACGGGACGGTCCCTGAGGCCTCGAGGGAAGAAGCCATCAAGGTTCTCCGGGCCGGCGTGCTCTGCACCATGCGGCTTCCCAGCCTGAGACCCTCTATGAGGTCCGTCGTGAAGATGCTGGAAGAGGCCAGGAAAGACCGCTTCGCCGCCGCCGCCTCCGCGGCCGCCACCGCCGGGGCAGCCGCCAAGGACGACGAGAACAGCCGTGACGACGATCCAAAGCAGGAGAAGCTGTAGCGGAAGAGGAAGATGGATTAACAGCGATAGGTCCTGGACCTCTCCGATCGAATTCTCCGGTCAGTCCTCTTCTTCTTGTTCCTCCCCCAATTCTTCTTCCATCGGAGAACCCACAATTGTACATAGCTTAGAACCTCAGGAGGAGACCCTCCTGGAGAGAGAATTAGGAGGTCCCTGTTTTTCCCCCACTCCAGACGGAGGTAGACGAAGGGGCCTTATATGGACCTAATGGGCCGGTCTCTCTTTCCTTTTTTGGGCGTTGAGGTTTCTGGAGAGTCTGGTTTGCCCGTCCGCTAAGTGAACAATATTGAGGCCCATTAGGCCCAATAATCCGAGGGCTCTTTACGGGGCGCCCCATTGACCTGTGTTTTAGCCTCTGGAATGAAGGCATCAATGCTTAAGTTAAATAGTATGAAAAAGAAAGGTCCGTTGAAATTCTCTTCTTGACGAGCTCAAAAGGATAGAGAAATAGATAGAAAGGAACATGTATGTGTACAAAAATAGATAGATCGAGAGGAGAGAGAGAGAGAGAGAGAGAGAGAGAGTAGAAGGTGGAACTCAAGGAATACATTTCTAAAGAGTAGAGTTAGCCAAAAAGATTGAACTATTATAAATTTTTATGTCTCTCATGTTTCATCTTTTCACAATCATAAATGATAAGTAGTCTCACTCTTGTTATAGTGTGTGTCCCTCATCTAATAAATCATCTTACATTATTTGTTAACCAAAATAGAAATTAGAAAAGACTCAGATTCCTCATTCACTATAGAACTTAGAAGACTCTAGGTTAGGAAGATCATGAAACATATTCAAATATAAGAAGAAATCAAGTGAGTGTTCTCAAAAATTTGTTGTGTTACTTCCTCTATAGTGAATACATAGGCCAGAAGCTGCAAGAAATGTATTTTTTTGGAAAGGAGCTACTTGAATGCTAAAGAAAAAGGTAAGTATATTATAAACTTAGGGCACTAAAAAGGTTAATCATTATATAATGTATTTTTTCCTTGGTTGCTAGGTTTATAATGGTTAAAAATGGTCACAATAATGGCTAGTTACATGCAATGTACCACTGTCTTTTTCATATTTTATCTTGTTGTGTCACACTTCTAAATACTTTCTTTCCAAGTGAGTTCACCAATTTTCTACAAAGAAGTGGAAAACATAAATCTTGCAAAGAATAATCTCATAAAAAATTAAAGCCTTTCCAAATTTTACATTGGAACATCACCAATGTACTTAAGGGTCACATAAAATATCTTTTTTCTTTTTCTTTTTGTAAAATCACTATTACTTTTGTATGCACTTTCCTCACAATGTGTTCAAGCTTGTTCTTGCTAATTGAGTCAATGCACTCTCATGGTCATCAATAGTGTTTAAATGTTCTAAGGTGAGCACACTCACTTCCATAATAATAATAATAATAATTTGATCATTATGATCATTAAACTTTATCATATTAATTGAGTTGACTCACTTCTTACAACAAAGTATCAATAAGAAAACTTCAAATCAATATAGTCAAATAGGTAATAAATTGTTTCAAGAGTTATGATATACTATATTTGTCAAAAATAGGTACCTATGAATATATTACATTCGTCAAAAAAAGAGGCATGATGGGCCTTGAAATCAATTATTAAATCACATTAAAAAAAAATATAAGAGTTAGAGAAATATTTTGTCAATATTTTAATCAACTCAACATACATTTGGCAACAACTAGGATTCAATCTTTGTGTAAGTCATACTAATTAGTTAACTTTTTTGCTTAAAAAAGTTCTTCTAAATTTGTTATTGTCATCATCCATGTTAATAACATTTTCTTATAGGAAAATGGAAGTGAGTGAACTAATTACTTTTATAAGCAAAATATTATACTATCTTAGGGATAGAGGTGACCCAAGATAAATTATCCATTGTTTTATATGGAGGGAATTTTTCCCTCTCATTTTGGGTAACACCTTGTTTCTTGATGAAAATGTCACAATTACCAAAATGGAACAAAACTTTAACATATAGCCAAAAATAGTAAAGGCATGATAAGATTGTGTACAAAACTTTCACTTGTCCTGATTTTGACTTTGTTATTACAGTGATTGCTCACTAGCCTTCTATATGTTACCCACCAAGTTTGGACATAGTGTGATTTACAACTAGTATTTATGTCTTAATAAGTGAAATTACTATGCCTTTTCAAAAAAGAAAAAAACAAGCCTTTTTGTCATCTAACCCACCTACTACAGTCAAACAACTTTGAAGAATTAGGGCTCATAGAAGACCACAGTTATTGTGGAAAGTTGATGAAGTATCAACATTAGAATAAAAGTTTTCATCTTTTAATACCCAAAATGGAACCAAACATTGACATATAGTCAAAAAGAGTAAAGTTGTGATAAGATTTTGTATCAAACTTCACTTGTTATTGTACTTTGTTATTAGAGTGATTGCTCATGTCATAAAAATATTTTAAATTCAACACAAAACAAATTTATTATGAAATGTGCCAATATCATTGTCCTTCTATATGTTATCTATTAAGTTTGGACATTGTATGGCATATAACTAGTAGTTAATGCCTTAATTGGGTGAAATTATTATACCTTTTCAAAACAAAAACAAAAACCATTTTTGTTCTTTACCCCACCCACCCATTAAAGTTGAGAAACTTTGAGGAATTGGGTCCCCTAGAAGACCAAATGCATTGTAAAAAATCAGTAGATTATCACTATTACCAATAATAAAGTTGTCATCTTTTAATAGCTAAACAGAATCAAACTTTGACATATAGTCAAAAAGATTAAAGCCATGATAAGATTTTGTATTAAATTTTAACTTTGTTATTAGAGTGATTGGTCACGTTATGAAAAATACTTTAAACTCAGCACAAAACTAATTTATTATGAAAATGAGTTTGTATTAGTATCCTTCTATATATGTTACTCTATCAAGTTTGGACATAGTGTAATCTACAACTAGTACTTACACCTTAACAAGTGAAATTCTCAACATTTTTCAAAAAAAAGAAGAAAAATAAAGCCTTTTGTCATCTACCCCACCCACTATAGTAGAACTTTGAGGAATTGTTGATTCTAGAAGACCAGATACATTGCAGAAAACCAGTGGATTATCGGCATTACCAATAATAAAGTTGCCATCTTTTAATATCTACGCTCTGTATATAATATAATACATTTGAGGGACCAAGGAACCTAACACGAGCATGGAAGAATAAGTGGGCCAATCACATACTGACCGCTATTTTCTCCCTCCAATTATCGCCGCATATTTATGACCTTTTGGGAGCCCAACAAAGAAGCGGAGTAAAATTGTCACCAGATCATCGTTCCCCCGTCGTTTCTGCGGATGCCTCCAAAGAAGTCGACATACGACTCGACAGTTGAGGGTGAGAGAGAGAGCGAGAGAGAGATCACGGAGACAACACTGCGGCTATAGGACATATTGTGGCATTATCAGGCTCAAGCCCAGGAAAAGAGGAGAGAGAGAGAGAGAGAGGTTCACGGGAGTAGGAAGGAAGGAAAGAAAGAGACGAGAGAGATGGGGACTTGTCACCGGACGATGGGCGGCGAGGACAGACAGCGCCGCAACAAATGGCCTCCACTTGTCGGCGGGAAGAGGGAGGAGCTGCAACGTGGACGAAAGCAAGTGGTGGCACGCGCTGCCGTCTGTTCCTGTCCTGGCCTTATTGTACGCTGGCGGCGGCAGCGGAGAGGAGGAGCTCGCTCCGCCGGGGAATTAATATCGCCTCCCATTTTCCAGCTCTTTTAACTCCCCGCCGCCAAAAAAAACGAAAACAAAAAGTACGATTACCGTTGACAAGTGGAAGGAGAGAGAGAGAGAGGGGAAATTCAGTATTACCCCTCCCTTTTTCCCGGTATTTCCACTCCAGCCGGTAAACGCTGACCAGTCTGGCGAGAGAGAGAGAGAGAGAACTTATTAATAGCACCTTCTACTGTGCAGGTATTTCTAATCTCTGCAGAGCCCTAGGAGAACTCTGCTATTGACCAGTCAGAGAAGAGAGAGGGAGAGAGAGAGAGGGAGCCGTAGAAAAGGGGATTTGCAGGGAGACGATGAGGAGAGAGGGAACGCACCGCCGCTTCTTGATGGCCGGCGCCGCTCCTCCGCCTTCCTCACTGCCGGCGCCCGGTGGCGCGCCGCTTGGACCCGCCGCGGTGATGAGGTGCAGGCCGATCCCGCCTATTTGGAGGTCGTCGTTCTCGTCAAAAATGTAGAGATCCGCCCCGTAAATCGTCGGAGCTGTTCGCGGCAGACAGGATGGAGCCAGGCAACCCTAGCAACAGCGACGACAACCTCACCGGCGCCGGCGGAGGAGGATGAACGGCCCTCCGCCTTCCTCTTCCCCTTTGCCTTCCCCTTCCATGTACGTACACGCAGAGATATTAAGGTACATACGCCGATGCATCAGAGGATTATTTCACCTTCTGATCTCCATTCTCTCTGTTCTTTCTCTCCCGTCCATCTATCCCTTGCGCTCGGAGGATGGAATCTGAGATGATTTCCTGTTGAAATCTCTCTCCTCCGGTTTATGATTGAATGCGGTTGGATTTTTTAGTGTATCACAAATTTTGTTTCAGCCAATCTGAAAAACTATTTCTGGCCTGAATCTTCCTGTTCTTCCCTTGTTCTATTCGCTGAGTAAAATCGAGCCACTTGAGGCAGTCGACGATCATCCATTTCATGAACCATTTTTTTTATAAAAAAAAAACAATTTTTCGGAACGCATTGAATTGAAGACGCTCTCACTCTACAGAATTCAAACCCTCCCCCCCGTCCCAGAGATGCCGGGTTGACCCTGTTACATTGATCCAGGGAGGAGCATAAGCACTGTCGGAATCTTTCCTTTTTTAGCATCCCAATTCATCATCTCTTTCATCCTAACATTCTGAACAAAGGGAGGGGGAGGGATTTTTTTTGAAAAATATAAGACGGAGAGAATTATTTACGCCCAGAAAATGTGGCGACGGGAGACAGATCTGCTGCAAAGGAGAAAGTCAAACGGGAGCGAAAGAGAGCGTTTTTCCACGGCTTTTGTCTTAGAAGACCTCGTGGGAATATCGATGGAGCTCCTTTCCGGCAATCGCATCGGCCTCCCTACGAGAGAGAGAGAGAGAGAGAGAGACCACAGCGTTCAAGTTGTTGCCCGTCCCGTTCGAAAACTATTCTCTCTTTCTCTCTCTATGGTTGGATGAGCTGGAGAGAGAGAGAGAGAGAGAGAGAGAGACCACCGCGTTCAAGTTGTTGCCCGTCTCGTTGAAAAACTATCCTGGAGTTGGGCCCATACGGTCAAAAACATCTCTCTCTATCTCTCTCCAAATCTATGGTGATGGGGCAGAAAAAAGGTAAAACAATCCAGCCCATATATCACTGCAGGCCCAACGGCCCATATCAATATATACATAAAACTCCTATTTTTCCCACTCCAATAACACTCGAATTTCTAAGAATCATCTGCCTCAAGCCAAATGTCGAATTCTTTATAAACCACCCTCTCCCCCCCTTCATATTTAGAGAAATAATAATCAGACATCAAATAAAGTAAAAATATGAGAAGGCAATGAATGGCTTGCTCTTGAGAGACGTTGATTACACATTTGGGCCCAGCCCACTTAGCCATTAATCTCCTTTGATGGGCCTCATTGGGCCGGATAAAAGCCCAGCTGGGAGCACATTTCCTGGCTCAGGCCGGTGAAACCCCCAAAATCCTGCCTTGAGTAAGATACAGATATAGAGATATCTGTCTATGTAGGCAATGTAGCTTAAGAACATCTTTGACTAAAAAAGCATTTAAATTTTCTGTTTTAGTGAAAAAACAAACAATGTTTTGGAGCTTCCTGTCCCTATATTTACTTCAATAATAATCGAGAATTAGATGAAGAAGAAGCCCACAATTGAAAACAAAATCAAGGCCATAGGAGGATCGTTTCCCGGGGTGAGGAGGGGTTGACCGCTGATTGGACCCGCGTCCAGGGTTTAAAGAAGAATATGGGCACGTCATCGGTCAAAATCAAGGTGAGATTCCTAAGATAATAATGGGTTGGGGCTATATAAATCTGGAAATTTCGTTCTTTCTCAGGTATAGCGATTCCTGTACAAAGAGCGGCCATTGATCCTAAAGGGATTAAGATGTTATTGATCCGATAAGTCTTCCAAAGATCTGGGAAGTTTTTATTCGTCGTATTTCCATAAAAGGCATTCAAATACTTGCGAGAAACTACGAATTGAAGTCAACTCTTTCATCGGGCATGAGAAGGTGGAAAGACGCTACAAAAAAGCTCGTGAGAAGAAGCTAATCGCCAAGACCTCACTCTTCTCAGCAGAAATTTTTTCTTGTCCCAGCTGCCAATAACCAGATGGGTGATTGCCACGATGCCAATTAACAGCACATCTATGGCACATGTTCAAGGATGTAAGCTACTTATGGCTAAGATCCCAAGTCAGAAGGATTCTTCCACCTGTTGTTTAGTTCTTGCTAATTAAATATAAAAAAAATGTTCTCAGAAGGATTTCCTCTACCGATTGCATAACCTTTCCCTTGCAGATTGAAAAATAAAATGGAGCAATTGCTATTCATTATCTCCACAAATTCGGATAAAAGAATTCTCACTCGTTTTTTTTTTATTTTTTTAAAAAATTTCCTGGAGGGGGTTGGAATTTTATGTTTGCAGATTAGTAGACCATATTTTGTGTAAACAGCTCCCCTGGGAACTATTTCTTTAATAAATAAAAAAAGGGGGAAAGTTGCAACCAATGAAGTAGTGGGTGTTTTTGCTATTTGACCTCCCATGCTGATGTGACATTTTTGCCAGGCAGGCTAAGAACACTACCATAATTAAGCTACAGATGATGTGCGCACCACTAAAACAGATGGTACAGATGTGATATTGATGCCAGTGGAGTTGCTTGTGTCTAATTGGAAGAATTTTTCCGAAAATAGTCAGCTAACTCAGCTACAGTATATCAATATATATCAATCACATCGGTAACTAAATCTAACTGATGCATCCAGCTTCATGCAGGCAATCACATCTACGAAAAGGAGTTATTATGCGCGACGAACCTGAGATGGCACTACTTTGAGGGTGGGGGCACCAGACAACGTCACAGAAAGCTCAGCTTCTCTGTCACATGTAAAAGATGCAATAGACATAAATAACAGAAGCGACCCAGAAAATCAGTTCTTCAATAATACGCAGAGTGATTCAATGTAAGAACAACACAAGGTCGGATAAGAGCCTACAGAGAAAACATTGACACCTTCCCAGATATTGTAGTAGCTTCTTCTCTGGCCTTTAAAATGCATAGCTCCGAACTGTTTGCGCAACGATTTCTAGGATTGAGCACTAATTCGTTGTTCTAATTCTAAGATATATAGACAAACATTTTATTTTTTTTATTTACTTGCTTGAAATTGTACGATGCATGAACCAAAGTACAATCCGTGGAATGCAAAACGGCATTTGTATTCACACGCACGCACTGTTCGTGTGCATATCTGCAAGCACCAGTGTTTATGCACATCCCTCAAGCAGACTGGGCGCCGAACCCTACAACCCGTGATGGGACTAAGTTTGAGTGGACATCAAAGTGGGCAGACAAAATGCATTCTCTCCTCTCAGCCAGCATAACCCATTAATGAGAGTAAATATTAAAATGCCAATAAATCAGAATATTTTGTAATTAGTTTTCTTACGTCTACCCGAAGGAATAACCAACAGATATTTCTCCTCGTATTTTATGGGTCAAAGAGTGGAGCATCCTACATAGGAAAAGACTTTATAATAATGTTCAATGCTTGTTTTACTTTGAACGTAAAAATTCAACATATTTGTATGCTTGGTACCAACAGAGTCATATCCATAAATTACAAAACAACCAATATAATGTGCACACAGTTTGTAGGAGTTAAATGGAACCACAACTGGGTAGTCATTAAAAGAGGATTCCTTCATGGGAAGAATTACAGGAATGAATCTGTTTAGTTGAAATATCAATTGATGCAATTGAGATCACCATTCAAAATGAAAAGAGAACAAGGAGAAGATGAAATGCTTCGTTGATTCTTATCTGTGCCTTTCCCTGACATTACCGGATTTTGAGGAATTCTTTTATTTGATATTATGATTCTCTAACATATTAACAAACAAGGCATGACACCTATCCGTCAAAATGAAAACCGAAATGACTGGATTATGCAATTTTCTCGTCCAGCATATTCATGAGAAGAAAATCATCTGTCCATATTGAGCGATGGCAAGTACACAGACCAATGCGCACAAACATTCCCATGGAACCAATAAATAATCACCCATGGAAGATCTGGTGGATTGACAAAGAAAAATCCAAATAATCCTAGTATTCACCCAAACTTTGAACCTGAGGTACTAGTCTGCAACAAACGTATGATCTTGCATTCTTCGAACATCTGAATCTCCCACCGAATCAAGTTTTGAACAGCACAAATGACATATTACAGATCAGGCATTTTTCTCACACTCGTAGTAAACACCTAAAAACAATGATCGGTCCTTTTGTCAACAGATATAATATGACAAAAGGTTGCAAATTAAAGGAAGAGAACGCAATTAATAAAGTGAAATAACTTTTGTTCAATATCCTAATAATCAAAATTCTGTACAGATAACAGAAGGAAATAGCCTTACCTGTTCATCACTCGATCAAGATGATCTTGACTCACTCAGTACAAATGCCTGGATTAGACTCTGTGCAGCATGGGTCTGGTCAGGTGTTCCGGATATTATAATAACAGTCTCAGATGCTCCAGGTCTAGGATCAGTGATAGTAACATTTGCTCCAGATATCTGATTACGGTTAAAGATCAGGAATAAATACCAACCGCAAAATGCTAGGATAGAAGTATATTAAATATATCAAAGGCCAACCTGGCAAATCTGTTTCAGGCATCCCCCATCATCTCCACGTATAACAGGAACAAGTGCACGAGGAATAAGTACGTCAATGGTTGTTTTTGGGATTCTACCTGGCTGGTTTCCGCTGCATTAAAAAACCATAAAGAGCACAACATATGATGAGCTAAAATTTAATAATCGATGCACAGATTTTGTTAGCCTTAAAATACACATATTTTTGCATATGCATACAAATAAAAACACATACAGCAAGAAGTATGTTTGACTTCACGATTATCTCTCAAGACAAAGAACCGATCCATAAATTTTTTACACGTGATAACCCTATTTTACAGACCAATCTAATGCAACAGTCTTTAAACAATTGTGATCCATCCCTGGTCACTAACCAAGTACAAGGACCAGAAATAGGCTGCGAGGAACAAAGATGTTATCCTTGTTCAAAGAATTATTCGCATGTGTAGAGTCAGCCCACTATTTTCTGCTCTTCCTCTGGGTGGATAACAGAGATTAAACTGGATCTCAGTATCCATCCAAAACATGAGGGCAGTAGAATGATACTGACCCTGAACAATCAAAACTACATTTGTGATCCTTTTTGCCTTTTTGTGTGGGTGAAAACTCAGATATAAACTGACCCTGAAAATCCACCAAATCGTCGTTTTGAAGCTCCTCCATAGTCATCTACACCAACTGAACCATCTCCACTGCTTATGCCCTATAAGCATCAATTAAGACAGCATATTATCAGATTGGATGGAGTGACATAGTCAAATTGTGTGTGTTTTCCAAAGTTAGAGATCTAGATGATGACAGCGGACAAAGGTCGAATACATATATAAGTCGCAATATTTCAGAATCATAATTTTAAATCATTTTCAAGAAAACGTACAGAAAAAACTCGTTATTAAAGCCAATATGAACAGAAGATTACCATAAAAAACATCTCGGTGTAAATTTATTTCATGATATGGCTAACAAGGAGGACACCTACCTACCAAATGCATATCGCGAGATGGCACATAATAAAGTAATTAAGAACCATTTGATAATTAAGTTCGGAGAGATATACAACGCACCATAAATCAAATACCATGCGATATTTATGGGGAAATAACGTACTCAATTAGGATTAGGGTCTGATATTGGAGGGTCTGACATAACGCAATATTTTGCAACATTTATTGTCCCCTATTTTGTAATCTGCAAGATGATTAAGCGTTGAAATATCATACACTATACAAATGAGAATCATACCTTGGCTCCCCACGATGCAGAAGGTATTCTTTCACCACCGTGGTTGGGAAATCCTGATGTATAGTGCGTACGAGGAAAAGCAGATCGTTCATCGTGAGGAAGAACTCCAATAGGATCAAATTTATGAAAGGGTTGGAAAAAATTGGAGCGAGGTCCAGGTGGTGATCGATCTCTCCTTCCCATGAAGGGTGAGAACGGTGGAACTTGATCGACAAAGGCAGGATGACCAGAAGAATATTTTTCATTGAAAATATTATGTTTCAGTCTCGACGTTATTTGCAAAAGAGCCTCTTGGACAGCCTCAAATTTCCCAGTTGCCTGACAAAGAATATAAGCATCACATAATCACAACAGATACAACCAAACATTCTCGTTCTGGTCAAAAACAGGGAAAACATGTAAGCAGAATAAAGCCTGTGATAAAGCCTATTTACCTGAACAACAACTTCATTTTCAGAAGCATACTTAGGAGCTTGATCCTTGCTCAAAATACGGATTTGTGCTCCGGAAAACTTCCTCATTTCTGCTACTATAGAACCCCCTTTGCCAAGAAGACAACCAGTTTGAGTGGAAGACACAATGATTCTCGCTGAAACTGTGTTCTCTTTATCATCAGGCACAGCCATCACAACCCTGTTCTGCACACGAAGAATGGCATCTTGTACTGGAGAAATCCTATCCTCTGGATGCTGCAAAGACCAATCTATCGTCTCAGAAAGACAAAAGCAATATTTTCATTATGGAAACAAATAAGCCAAGCGACATTTATTTAAACGAAACCCCCGCTTATCTCACCAAGTTAAAGACAAAAAGAAACAAACTAATCAGGAGAGCAAGAGAAAGAGAACACTTTTATATCAGAATTTGCAAATCCAACCACAGTGGTCACCACTCCCTAGCTATTGGATCATTCCTTACAATTATTCTGACCATACGTCGCCACTGGACAAAACAGTTTAATTATTCTGACCATTCCTTACAGTTTAATAGAAACACAGGAAAACGGAAAATCAAGGAAGCAGCACATATAGCATCTCCATCTTTGGAGAAGAAATAAGAACATGAGAGAGACTCCAAACAATAATTACCGCTGGGCCACTGATAACTACGATTCGATCCTCCGAGTCTGGGGTCGTCTCAACAATTTTGATTTCAGAACCAGTTTCACTTTGGATCACTTTAACTATACTTCCACCTTTTCCAATCACACTGCCGACCTTGTCACAGCTACATATTAACTGAAATGTGAGTATCTCTGGGGAAACCGGAACTTTAGCAGGTCCAGACATATCTTGGAACTTGGAAATAGATGGGCCCATGCGCGGATGATAGTCAACCATGTCGTGGGGTCTAGAAGAGAAAGGTGGCCCTTGATCCGAGAAATGGTAATTTGCAGGTGGAAAAACTTCACTCCGTGGTATACCCAGCTGGGGGAGGGGTGCAAAATGATGAGATGATGGTCCAGGGACTTTGTCCTGAAGTAGGAGATCACGATCACGGGGTGGATTTTCAAGAAGCTGCTGAGAAACAGACTGCAGCGCTTTTCTTACTGCATCAATACTTCCTGTGATCTGAAAATGTATACAATAGAGCTTATTACACAAAAAACCTAGGAAACTAGAAGAGTGCAGGTGCTAAGAAAAACATTGTTGTCTCGGCAAGTATGAAATATAGATACAATGCTTTGGCAGCTAAGTATCAAGAATTGAGAAATTCCCTGAAATTGTAGGAAAGAAAACATCTGAATCAAAATCGAAAATGAGTGAGCAGTAAACGTTTTCAACCATTAACCGTAAACAAGATCAATAGCCTAAGCAGTCCCTTTTATATAGGTGAAGGGATAAAGAGACCACACCACTTTGATTGGGCGATGGACAAAATGTAACAACCGTTTAGATAATAGCCGACCCTACCTGTACCAGTTCATCTAGGGTTGAAGCACATGCAGGAACCTTGTCCCTAGGTAGAATACGAATCTGAGCACCACTTTCTGATGCCATTTGCTTGACCACACTTCCACCCTTTCCCAGAATACACCCAACTTGGCTGGATAAGACAAGTACACGCGCAACAATAGATGACTTTTTACTTTCATCATCTACAGAATCAGACTCTGGATCACTTTCAGCGATCCTCTCAAAAACAAGCAACAAAGCCTTTTGCGCAGCCGATGTTGTTCTGTCCAACTGTGAAACCTCCTGCCGAGGATTCTCCTTTACCTTGAGGTTATCGTCACTTTCATTCGCGTCATCATCCTCATCAGCATCATCAATGTACGCATCATCTTTCTTTGCGTTTTCCTTCCTATCTTCAATCTCTCTATCAGGGCCTGTTATCACCACAACCCTCTCTTCACATCCAGGAACGATTTCTTCAATTCTTATTTTCGCACCAGTCTCCTGACGGATCTTAGTGATAATCCCACCACCTTTGCCAATCACACTGCCAGATTTCGATGCAGGACAAAGAATACGAAAGACAGTGGCTCCAGGAGCTGCCTTCAACTGATTCTGCTGTGCTCCTAAATGTGCAGTCTTTTGCCATTTTCCTTTTCCATTCTGCTCCAAAGGATTTCGATCAAACCCTCTCTTTGAATGTTTAAAAGGGAACGCCATGGCCTGTAATCTACCTCTGCACAAAAGAAATAAGGGCAAATAAAACTTTTGGTCAAAAAAGAAAACGGAAAGAAAGGACGAAAGAAAAAAAGCAGAAATCGATGAACCAACAGCGCGTCCGTCGGTAAGACCACCACAGAGTGAGTAGCACGCAGATTAAGTCGGTAAACATATTTTCTGCCTTTAATCATGACCACTCTTCAGACGAGCTTGCAAACGCAATATAGAAAGCCCTAAACTATATCCTTATTCTCGTCTGACGGGTGAATGAATTGCATCGGCAATAATTATTTCCAATTTAACCGGGTTTTGACCAGCAGGCATAGAGAACCTTCATATAACCCGATCAGTCCTGCTCACATCAATCAGGAGTAAGAACTGAGCAACAACTCGCGACACATTTTGATTTTCTGCCTACTTTAAATTACATCGACGACTACATAACGCAAAATACCTCGAGCTTTTTACATTCGAACTGGCATCATGTGTTTACCCGATGAACACCCAAAACCATACGCACAACAGCTTCGCTAGCAAATTGCAAACATCCGACCAACTCTTCTACAGCGGTGTACTTCGTTCAGGAGCAAGAGGAAACAGAAACGAAGATGGCAGATACATAAAACCCTAATGATAGTGGATGTTTACAAGGAACAGATGCTTGAGAGAGAGAGAATTAAAAAAGAGAAAGCGAGAGAGGGAGAGGGAGAGAGGGAGAGGAAACGCACCGAATGGGCAGAGCGCCTTCGCCTTCGAGGAAAACCCTAGGGTCAGGGATAGAATATCGAGGGTTTGGAGGTCGCTTACTCAGTATCGTATGCCCAGTTAGGGTTCTCCGTAGGAGAGAACGTCTCTTGCAACGAAAGTTGAGGTCCCGCGCGGATATCGATACATACATTTAAAGTATTTTATTTTTGTAAATATACCCATTAAAAAGTTCACCGCCTAAACCTGTGAAACGCAGGGCCCATTTAGGCCCAAAGATCGGGATGTTAATGCGTCACAGTTCCGTAACTCTTACTTTGACCCGGTCAAATTTTGGTCATGGCCCATGTTTTGGATCTGGCCGAATAATTTTCTGTGGAAACCATACAGAATTATAATTTATTTTTTTATTCAGTCCATAATAATCTCCATGTCAGCAAAGATTGGACGATCAGGATTGAATCCTCTAGATAAGTAACTTCAAGATATGTTATTTATCTCGCCACGTCCCCCCAATCCGCAAGCGTTCGATCGAAGATGGAGGGCAGAGATCAAAAAAGGCGAGTGGGATGAAGCCTGAGCCCCAACACGTGGCCTCCGCCACGAGAATCGAGGGTAATACGTGTTAATCAGCGGTCAAGATTGGCTGAGATAGATGCTACGATTTCATTAAAGACCACGCGTTCTAATTATTTATTTACACGGTTTACAGGGAAACCACGTATATGATGTAAGGGGACGCACGTGTTACTCTACACGTGGCGCAATCCTTCCATCTCGTGATGGAACCGATGGGCCCAACACCTCCGCCTTGTGGGCCTCGTGTACGAAGCCCGGGCCGAAATACTGAAACATGAACCAAGATCATCATAGAGATCAATTGTTCGATCGGACGGTGAAAAATTAATAGTAAACGATAAACTGGAGAAAAGGTGGGCTGCTTGGAACGTGGGCCAGCCCATTAACACACCCGGAATACTCCTTTTCGGTTTAATCCTATAATTTAATTTCCCAATGTTAATATTTTGTTATTTTCTTTCATATTTTTCCCATCCTCTGGACTAACGTTTGGGGGTATATTACCACTAAAAAATAGAAAATTTCAAGGTAAAAAAGAAGAAGAAAAGATCTTACATAGTCTGTTGCTGAGAATAATCCAATTGTGATGATAATCAGAGGCCAGAATCCAAGAAAAAATGTTGCTCCTGTCGTCAGAAGCAGTCTTGCCCGTGGAATCAGACCCTGAATCGAAGGAACACACGAACTTCAGGCCGATTAATGTATACGAATAGTCCCACATTTAATTTAGGTGAAAGAAAAATATCTCAAAACGATGAGTATGAAAGATCCTTCCCCGTTAAACAGAAATTTCAGTGTAGCAAGAAGGACACGATCATCATTGCAAGGAAAATGTTTAGTAAATATAATTAAAATGAAATTTCGCAGTGATTTGGATGATAATCAGTTCGGAACTAAGATGTGTCGAGAAATCCTGATCTGGCGATCTTCTTCAATTAATGGCACGGTTGTCTGCGGAGATATTCGTGGGGCTCTCTCCCGATGCATGAAGAACATGATGAAATGAACATGATGTACAATCCAAGTAGTAAGACGGCGAGCATGATTTTTACGACAATCAGTGATCGAAATCCTGCACTCACAGAAGTTTGTGAGGAAGTGATCGGTGATTTGCCGTCGTTCTACGAATCCTCTATTTTGATCTTCTTCGATTGATTTGGGGCAGAAGGAAGGTGAGGAAGGGGGAGGAGAGGGAAGAATTGGCTGACCTCGAGACCTTCACTGTTAAGAGCCATGGATCTCGCCCACTGGTCGGCCAGGGCCTCCTCATGGTCGGCAGAAACCACACGGTTCCTCCTCAGCGGACCTCGAGTGCCGTTCTGCTCTTCCTCGATATCCATTTCCTCCATCGGCCAGGAGTACGAGCCCCTGGATCTCGGAGAATTCTCCGGCGATGAGGCCGGATCGATCCCCCTCCTCTTCAACTCCTTCGTGAACAACGACTCCAGCGGCTCCTCCCACACTGCAACAGAGACAACAACCAGTGATCCACAGAAAAACTTACGGATCTCCTTGCGAAGATCCTTAATTGCGGATTGACAGAGGCTTACCGCCGGAGCCAGTATCGTCCCGCCGGAGACGGCAGCGGAAGGGGAGGATCCCTCCGGCCGGACGGCATAATCCGCGCCGGAGTCCAGAACCAGGGGGAATCCCCGATCTGACGACAGTCAAGCAGGCCATCTCTCCTCCGCCCTAGATCGCTTCTCTCCGAGAGGAGAGGAGAAATTATCACAGAAAGGATCAGATCAGGCGCAATATCCTTGGAATTCTCACGGATCGATCGAATCGAATCCCACGATTAGGGCGGCGGAGAAGAACAAGCCGGGGGGGATTGGAATGTCTCTGGCGCAGGAGGGGAGGAGGAGGCCACCACGTCACCAGTTACCAGCCGCCGCCCGGAACTTCCTTCCTATTTGAGCGCGACGGCGGTCAGCCGGCGGCGGTGATCTTTCGAGCCTCTCAGTCCAACTTTTTCTCTCTTCACCTTTGGCTCTATCGAGTGACGTAGAATCAAATCAGGCCCGGGCCGTTTTGAAACACGGACCAAAGAAAGTCCGGAGCCGAACCAGATGAGAACCGAACCGGCCACTTAAATTGTCGGGCCTAAGTATGAAGCCAGAGTAGGAAAATGGGCCGGGCCGAAAGTAACGAATGGGTCTGACCACGGCAGCATAATCCAATTTTGGAAGAATAAAAATCGCTTGGTTCAACAGTACTTAAAAAGATCGTAAAATAAATACAATCAAGCTGTCGAATCTCCAACGTACAATCATGCACCGAAATGAAGATTTCTAGAAAGAGAAAACATCTGTTTAAAACAAAATCGGTACAAGCAATGTGGGCACCTCTCTCTCTCTCCCTCTCTTCAGTTTGACATTCCGCATTCAAAGCTCAAGAGGCCTCATCCATCATTCTCTCCAAAACTCTCTAGATCCCACATTCTCTCTCTGATTCTAAGCATCCCACTTTGTCTCTCTTTCTCTAGAACTCGGTTCTTGAGAAGAGAAAACGAAGGGAAGAGGAAAGAATTACTGACCGACGGTCCTCACTTGGATCGATTGGGTGAAGGCCGAAGTGGCGGGGGAGACCGAGGAGAGGTCGGAGACCACCAGGACGACATCCCCCAGCTTAACTGCCGCGATCGCCGCCATGAACCTGATCGACTCCTTCACGTTCCTCTCCATGTCCTCGAACAGATTGCCGACGATGGGGGTGACTCCCCAGTGGAGATTCAACCCCATCCCCGTGTTAGCATCGTCTGTGAAGGCGAAGATAGGCGGCCCTGGGCGGTTCCGAGACAAAAGTGCCGCCATGTGGCCGTGTTTGGTGAAGACAAAGATGGCGGCAACACCGAGGTTGTTCCCTGTGACCCGACAATATTAAACCAAGAAATATATCCTTAAAATTACGATAAGATCAATTCAACCCTCCCTTCTTGATCTAATAAGAGAGAGATGAAGTGTTCACCCATCTCTACTGCGGAGTTGCAGATCTCCTCGGCGATGCTATCAGACAAGTAGCTTGTGAGCCGAGGAAGGGGAGGAAGGTTGCGAAGGCCATCTTCTCGGGCCCAAGCCTCTATGCAGAGACTGGCGGTGCTCAAGACGGAGAGGGCCTTCTCGGCGTATAATCCGACGGCAGACTCACCGGACAGCATCAATGCGTCTGCCTGCTGCCGAACCGCCTCAGAAACATCGGCGACCTAATCGAAGGAGAGATCGAGACTTTTCAAAGGGAGAACGAACACGCAGAAGAGATCCTTTCTTCCGTGATCAATGTATAATAAAAAGAAGGCATCGAAAGGACGCTGATCTTGAGCTCCTGATGGAAAAGGGTACCTCAGCGCGGGTCGGAGTGGGGTATTCAATCATAGATTCTAGGAGCTGAGAGGCTATGATCACCGGCTTGTTCAGCTGCCTGCATATGCTTGTCACCTGCTTCTGGATGGCCGGAATCTGGTCGAGGGGGATTTGTACCCCGAGATCTCCGCGCGCCACCATGATTCCGTCGGAAGCTTCGACAATCTCTTCCAAGTTTTCAAGAGATTCCAAGCGCTCGATCTTTGCCAACACCCTGATGGATCTGTAACATAGAATTTTATAGATGCCAGGATGAGTAAAATGTGGACCAAGAAAACGTTGAGATTAAAAACAGTAGGATCAGATTCACATCAGATGGGATATGAATTGGGCTGATCAGATTTGCACCAAATTGATCCAAAAAGAACAGAAATTCATCTTAATTTCCAGATACGACGTCCATATGTATTTCACTTTATTTTCCCAGTTAACTACAATCGTTGAGCTAAGAATTACTACGAGCTCTCTCTCTCACACACACACACAAAACCTTTCACATCACCAAAAAGTATGATAAATTTGTAAAAATAGAATTTATACCTATTTTGTAAAACGATTTTTTTTTTATGGACGGAATATACAAATGATCACTTACTCCGCCGATCGCGTAGAAAGATGGGTCTTCAGAGCCTTGATGTCCTCAGAATTTTTGGCATATGACACAGCAATAAAGTCAACTCCTTCTGATATTCCGAAGTCAATGTCAACCCAGTCCTACAAGACATCCAAGGCAAATTCCAGTGTGAAGAAATCTATAGCAAAAATTCCATCGCACATCAGCATCCAGAGTGGGCAGAGTCAACTCACTTCAATCAAGGGCGATGCCATTTACAACAGCCTAATAGCAAATCAAACCACAATGAGAAAAGTCAAAACAAGGAATAAACAGCAACAGCCGCTATTGATACTAAACTACTATTGTTCACCAGGTTCAGCTAGAACCAACTTTCCCCCTTATAGCATGTCGTTATGATCCCTGATATGAAGAGCATAGCTGGAGTACTTCAACGAGAAGTTTCAAGAATAATTTAATCCTCTGATATTCATATCGATAACAAGGAATAATTTAGTCTCACCTGGTGCCATACAAGTGATCATCAATGGTGAACGTTCCTAACCAAATATTATAAACAGCGGCATCAAGCTCAACTTGCATTCATTCAAAATCCGATTAAACATTACATTGGAGTAAAGAAACGTAAGGATATGTAAGAAAAATAGCTCATAATAACCCGTTACCTCTTCATTTGCATGTAAAATCATAAAAAAATGAGGGGATCATCAACTTAAGCATAATTCAAATTTTATAATGTTCATATTCTTTATCTTTTATCTAAATTTGAGGCAAGAAATCGATTACATAGATAAAATAAACGCCTACACAGGTTAAGATCTAATCAATGGAAAATATAATCAACCATGTAAACGCGGAAAGAGACCTTTGATGAGAGAGTGGGCAGCCCCACGCTCCTGTCGACCAGTTTTCCAGCCCTCCAGAAGGACAGCTTCGCATGGGGCAGGAGCAGACCCGAATCAGTGCATCTGCAGCGCAAATCGTCCTCAATCCGCTCAACAACTTCAAAACTCGCCATCCCACCCTCAACAACCAGCTCATCACCAACCATGATACCTGGAAGCAATCAACACCGATACAATATTACAGAATAAATCCCAAGATATCATAAAAGCGACCTTGTCGATCAAGATATTTCAATACCTTCGGAGAAACCCTCGTGGTTTGCCTTAACAGTGAATGGACGAGTGCCCTCGAAGTTCTGGGTGGTGAAAAGCCACATGGAGCCTTCCTGTGTAATCGAAGGATAATAAGATCCGAGGGAAAGAGGCGATCAAGGTATCACCAGGTAAACATTAAACGAAGTATTCAACAGACAAGAAGAACAGTCAGAGAAAGAAACTACAAGTCGTTACCCCTGTTTCGCTCCAAAATCTAACGATGATGGTAGATCTCTGACGAGATTCTCATGCGTCAATGGCTAATGGAAGACAGAATCTCACGCATTCGCATCATGTTATAGTAAGGTTATCCAGGAGTGAAACAAGAGGGAAGGGGGGAGGGAAACCTCGGCTTTGATGGAGGAGGCGGCGCCGTGGTCGACCATATGCACCTGGCTTCCCTCCGTGTCGATCATGACCGAAACACAGAACCTCTTCTCCCTGTTCAGCTTCTTCACGGCCCTAATCACGCTTCTGTGCCACTCCCGACTATTATGGCACATGTTCAGCCTCGCTACATTCATCCCTCCCGCGGCCAGCCTCTCCAGCTGCTCGGGGGAGCAGCACGCCGGGCCAATCGTGCACACCAGCTTCGTCCTCCTGAGTCCCGTAAGCCCCTTCCCCTTCAGTTCCGCCTCGGACGCCGCATCGAATCCAAATCTCTCCTCGGAAGGAGATCGATCTGATGGAGCCAACGGGACTGTCGACTTCTCCACGTCCAACTGCAGAGATGAACGAACTGGGCGCCGCCGGACGCTAACCACGGACCTCCCATGGCCGACGCCGGGACGTACCACCGTCGTCAGCGACCTCCCGTTGCTGTTCCCCGGTGAGATCTGGCGGCGTGGGAAGTGACAACCTGTCAATGCCGCCATTGATCCAAGGTTCCTCCGCCGTAGTTAAACCTAGGGAGAGCAGAAATGCAGATCCCTTACAAGAAGAGACGGAGATCGTCGAGCTCCGAAGATCGATATCTCCGCCAGAGAGCAGCAAGGTGGCGGCGGATTTCCAGATCGAAGAGAGACAAGAAGGAGATCCATCTGAGAGCCCTGGGGGGCGGGAAAAGCAAAACCCTAGCAGAGGAAAGAGTCAAACAGTGCAACGGTCGACGTTTTTGTGTACACTGATTAGCAATTAATCACATGCTCCTTTAAATAAAAAACGCTTTATTTAATTCCAAGTTTTAACGCAATTATTATTTAATGAATATTGACGACTTATTCGTGCCTCGCACGTGTAAAGATTAAAGCACGTGTAAAACCAATAGTCAACAGAGTGTGGAGATATACGAATGATGACGTCACATATGTGAGCATTCATCCCAGATGGAGCACGATGACGACATCATCACGTGGTTCAGTGTTACGCAGGTCGTGGCAAGTGGCAAGTGGCAAGTGGGGGAGAGTCGGGCGAAGGTCGCTGGGGCAACATTTATCGGGAATATTTTAGATGCTAAATTAATTACGGCACAGCGTCCATGGCGCAGGATCGGGCCGTATTTTTTAAGGCTCAGGCCCGGGCCCATGGCTGCTATTAAGCCAAGATCTGGGGCCCACGGCTCGTTTTTTTGCAATTTTGAAACCTAAATAAAAAAATAGAGGGTAAGGGGGTGATGTGAATTGGATTGGTAAAATTGAGGCCTATCCAAAAGTTCGAGGGTTATTATAGTTAGCGCGTGGAAATAATAAAATCATCAACTTAAAAAATTATTTGAAAAAGTTTTGATACGTGGCATAAAGATAAGGTTGACACCTCACTTTTTTGACTGCGTGTAAACATGGAAAGATTACCCGGCTGATTAATCTCCGGTATAATTAAATACGGTTTTCCCTGTCCATCGGGAGAACCGGTTCTCGTCCATCCTCCGGGCGCGCGGTGAACCGGACCGTTTCGACCGGGCGGATCGGCGGAAGGTTGTAGAAAGGATCACATCTGTAACAAACCTGTAAGCTTGGTTCTAGGGACAGGCTCGGAACTGGTTCGGCGGAGGAAGAATGGGCTCGCCGGAGGGAATGGAGGAGATCCTCGCCGCCGGGTACCCGCTCCACCGCAAGTCTTCTGCAATTCCGACGGGTTCCAGACCTCGGCGATGTCTGATATGGTGATCGCCGGGGATTACGCGTCTTCATTTCTGCATGCGGGGCAGAAGTGGGGAAAGCGGGGCCTGCACGGACGTAGACCTGTTCCTGCTCCATAGGGGGCGGTGGAATAAAAGATTCTTCGAGCGGCTGATCGAGATCATCACAGAGCAATTCAATAACCCTGGTTTGCGCCTGCGGTCGCTTTCCGGTTTCCAGATCCGGTCCCACAGCAGCTGGGGAAAGAAGTCGACGAGGGGGCCTACCTCGCGATTTTCTGGTGAGCATGGGGAACGCAGGGTACTGTTGTTGACGTCTCCGGCGTCGGCGGACTCTACGCTCACCTCGGGCGAGAGATCGAGGGAGAGCGAGATAGCTACGTGGTTGTCGTGTTCCCTCTCGCGAACTAGCAGTCACACAGGGCTCCTGGGGGTAGTTTTGTCAGTCCACAGGGCTCGAGCTTAAGGCCTCCATACCCGCTGCTGTTATTAAAGCAGGAGACCATCGGGCCATCCGTGGTTACAGCTATCTCTCTCTCTCTGGAAGAGGAAGAGGAATCTCGAGCGTTTCGATCCGAGATTCTGCGCCTACCTTGAGGGGATTGTGGAATCGAAGAATCGCATATTGGCATCCTCCGCAGGAAATTACGTCGGAAAGGGTGCCCCGGACTTGATCTTCTAGACGAGGACGTCTGTGTATTCGAGTGCTGCCGTCTTCCCTTGCCATGGTTGTGGTGGGGGGGAACAAGGAAGGAGGCAGGTGGGGAAACCTGGGGGAAAGGATGCTACTCAGGGAAATAGCATCGGTGAATGAGGGGAAGGACAAGGAGAGGGGGACCCCTCATCAGCGGTCGCAGCAGAAGCTGGTGGTGGGATACGCCCTGACCTCGAAGAAGGTCAAGAGTTTTCTCCAGCCCAAGCTCGAGGGGCTAGCCAGGTAAAGTACTCACCACGTCGTCGGAAATCCTCGCCGCAGAAACAGCAGAAACACCGATCGGCAGTCCATCATTGAATATTTTCACTTCCCCTGTTTTGCTAGTAATGTTCTCCGTGTTGACGGTAGATTTTCCGCCTCGAATCCTTTTTTTTTCGGCAGAAATTTTCTGATGGTTCCTTTTCCTCTCCTTCCCGGAGGATCCCAGCCGAAGGCCTCTACTGATCTTGGGTTTACTTATTTATTTATATATTATTTGTGTTCTTTCCTGGCGATTCATGGCTCCTCCTTTCTTTCCATCCGCTCGACCCGTTTTTAGCCGTCTCCTCTAGCATCTCATGCCGGGTCAACTTATCGATGCGGAAGTGCGCCGTGATGGTATAGCTCTCTACAAGGCTAGGAATTTTCCTACGACTTTCTTCCTTGCTGTGGAGGGGTGAAAATAGCTGTGATATGATCCATGGAAGTAGATTATACGATTATCTTCAAACGTCGTCTCATTTTCTTCCCCAGGTGTTCTCATGTGTGATTTTTAAGTGCCGATTTTTTCAAGGGGCTTTTGATGCTTGTCTTTATTTATTTTTTTATTTTTGATCATATTAAAAATATTTTTTATCGATTTAACTTCTTTTTTGTGTTGAGGTACTCTCGGCGCTTTAAGCGGTGATTACATGCCTATGATTGGGTGTTGAGAAAAAAAGGGAGGGGGAGTGTCTGTGACTATTCCCTGCAACTCACCATGCGATCTTGCAAAATTATTATGCAGGAAGAAGGGTATTTCATTTGTTGCTATTGACCAAAACAGGCCTCTCTCAGACCAAGGACCCTTTGATATTGTTTTACACAAGGTCAGCATATACTACTTTGGAAATCATATTTTTAGACTCTTGCCACATATGCAGTGGGATCCAACTTCTGACTAGGGCTTTCCTTTTCCAATACAGCTTTTAGGGAAGGAGTGGTGTCAAGTTCTCGAGGTTAGTTGCCCTGACGTGCTTTGTTCTGAAAGCATTCAATTGGCTCACTGTCCTGAACTCTCCCACTCCATCCCAATATTTAAGTGACGACAGTCGATGGTAAGTGAGAATTGTTAGATTTAAATGCTCATCCATGTCTGACATGACTTGCAGAAGGCCCTTTCCTGCATTATGATCATGACCAGATAGTAAAACGTTGAAGCCTCAGGAATTCCAAAGAATGAGGATTGTGCCATCTGTGACCAGCTAATTTAGCCTGTGATATGGTTGGTAATTGTAGTTGCACTAAATTCTCAGTTTCTGCATAACCGATGCAAGGATGTGGTTTTACTAACAACTAATCCTGGGCGGGTCACATCAGAATGTGGTGTGATCATATGTATGGAATGGAGATTTTGTAGATCATTCGCTGTAAAGAACAATTAATTATATTTCAGTCAAGTTTTATAAAATCACATATATATAAATATGTATATGATCGTAGATATTTCCATGATTTAGAAGGAGGTTCCCTAATATTTTTCATGAATGTGATATATATCTTGTTATTTTCGAGTGATATTGGAGTAATCATCTAAATTTCCTTTTTGGGTTGAAGGATTATCGGGAGCAGCACCCAGAGGTCACTGTTTTGGACCCCCCAGATGCCATTCGACACCTGCACAACCGTCAATTGATGCTTCAGGATGTGGCTGATCTGAACTTGTCCGATTGCTACGGTAATTCCTGGTTCAATTTTACGACTCTGAATGGTCTGGCCGGATGCTTCTCCAGAAAGATGGTAGCTGAGAGGATCCAAAGGGTCAAATCCATGATTCTCGCTGTCTTTGTTTAGCCCGTTTGATCGACTTTCATCATAATCAGCCTTTTAAATAGGGCATTTTCTCCTGATGATTTCTAATTTTTTCTGATAATGTAAACTCTAAACTTTTCAAATAAAGTAAATGAAAACGATATGTTTCCTGTTGCATTCTACTCTCTCTCTCTCTCTCTCTCTCTCTTCATGATATTCAGCCTTTAAAATAAGAGCTTTCTTCCAGATGCTTTTGTAAGTTTTTTCTGATGATATAAAGTCTGAACCTAAGAAAATAAATTTAAAGAAGATGTTTCCTTTTGCATTTGACTCCCTTTCATTTCTTTTTCAAGAAATTTCTCTGAGTTGGTATTGTAAACACAGGCTAATACCTGAAAGAGCTGCTTATAGCAACCGTGGTTTGAAGAATCATAAAATTGGAGGCTATTTATGAAAAACTACAGAAAATATCCAAAAAATTAGCTGTGTACTCATGCGATCAGAAATACCTACCCTTTCATAGGTGAACTTTTACTTTGGAGTTCACCCCATTCATTCTATTTGTAGAAATGCCATTTCTGGTTTGTCTTTGGGAACCCCGTTGAGAGTCGATGCCATCTCCAACTCTTTCCACCAATTTTAGGCGCTTTGTTCTATAACATCCCTAATGACTTAATCTATTGTATGCTGGTTGGCTCATTTTATTGGCATTTATGGGCGATAATTTCAGGTAAAGTTGGTGTTCCTAAGCAGCTTGTCATCACCCAAGACCCGTCATCCATTCCTGAAGCAGTCTCCAAGGCCGGGATGGTTCTTCCATTGGGTAGGCCATTCTGTCTTCCTCTCTCCTTCAAATTCAGGCTCCTCGATTGTGTAATGAATAAATCAACCCTTTTCAGTCAAACTCTCTCTCTCTCTCTCTCTCTCTCTCTCTCCTGTTGTCTACATTCACAATGCTCTTCAAATTCATGTCTTTCCCCTGAATTTTAATTGCTATTCTGCTGTAAAATCTTATGCCATATAAATCTTCAAGCCGTGGTTCCCGAATTCAGCAAAATATTTACAGGGTAGTGGGTATTTAACTGACATATACTTGAGGCAGTTGCCAAGCCGCTGATCGTCGATGGAACCGCCAAATCGCACGAGCTGTCTATCGCCTACGACCAGTTCTCACTGTCCCTGCTCGAGCCTCCCTTGGTTCTTCAAGAATTTGTCAACCACGGTATATACAGTATATAAATGACGTCATAATATACGAATTATGTGATGATTTTTCTGCCATGAACGCGACGAACTTGATTTTCTTTTATGCGTGTGGCTGCAGGGGGGATCATGTTCAAAGTTTATATCGTTGGGGAGGCGATCAAGGTCCTGCGGCGGTTTTCTCTCCCGGATGTGACCGAGAAGGAGCTTCTGAAGAATTCCGGCGTCTTCCGGTTCCCAAGGGTCTCCTGCGCCGCAGCTTCGGCGGAGTATGCGGACGTGGATCCCACCGTCGCCGGTAAGGCCCCTCTCTCTCTCTCTCTCTCTCTCTCTCTCTCTCATCCCACATTTCTCCTCTCTGATTTGCAGAGCTACCGCCACGGCCACTGCTGGAGAGGCTCGCAAGGGAGCTGCGGCGGAGACTGGTGGGTGGACGCAATCTTTTTTAAAAACTCTAGAGAATATATCCGTTGGGGTGGTCTTCCTCGTCCTTTTTGATCTCTCTCTCTCTCTCTAATTCGCCCCCATATGCGGGAATCGGCGGCAGGGTCTTCGTCTGTTCAACATGGACATCATAAGGGAGCACGGATCCAACGACCGGTACTACGTCATCGACATCAACTACTTCCCTGGTGAGTCCATTCCTTCTGCGCAGCCGAGAGCCCTTCCCTGTAAGGGAATGCATTCTACAGCCCTGGTCAACCCATTGCTTATGTCCCATCGTAGCATTGATTAATTTAATTGCCCAAAAGCATAGCATTCTATGCTTTCCAGAATCTGCAATTTTTTCCGTTTTAACGAACCCATTCCTGGGGGGGAATGCATTATACGGGCCTTGTAAACCCGTTCTGAGCGGCCCCCCTATCGTTAGATCTTCTGATTCTCATGCTGCTATGCTTTCCAAAATCTGCAAATTTTTTTAATAAACCCATTCCTGGGTGGGAATGCATTCTACGAACCTGGTCAACCCACTACGTGGAAGCCCGAAAAGCTCGTTCGGATGGCCTCTCTCCTAACGTTGCATTAACTGTTTGAATACATCTTCTTGCTTTCGTTGCTGCGATGCTTTTCAAAATCTGCAATTTTTTTTATTTTGATGAACCCATTAATTCCTGGCGTGCAGGGTATGGGAAGATGCCGGGCTATGAACAGATCTTCACAGACTTCCTTCTGAGCTTCGGCCAGAACAAGTATAAAAGGCGCCACAGCACCAACAACTAGAGAGAGAGAGTCTTCACCGATGGGTCTGAAGGCGGCTGGGGACTATGAAGGAGCTCTTGTACAGAGCTCGAGACCAAAGCATGGCGCTGGAGGTCGAATGGTTCTCTCTCGCTCTCGGTGCGCGCTTCTGTAGGGGTGTGTAGATGCAACACATGACTCAGTAGCGTGCCCATTCAATTGGTCTTTCTTGTGTTTGAGTCGGCCCAATTGGGACCGGCTGCCATGTTACCTCTTTCTCATACCTCACAGACCCCGCACGAGGGAGAGAGAGAGAGACACACACACACACTGCCCCATTATTAAATGGATCCTTCATGAGTATGATGATGATGATGTTAAGGTAAAAGAGGGCATTCGAGCAGAAGAACACCCGACCACAAGTTAACTGCATTTCAGCAAACTGTTCTACTCGGCCGTAGCATTTCATAGGCCGCTAAATTAGCCCAAGCGCTAACAAACGATCCGATTAAATAATAATTGATATACGTTCAATATGTTTCTTAAAGTGGGGTGGGCTTACCCAGAACCATCGTCGTCATCAGCCCGGATCTGGGAGGAACGGGGCTTCTGAGTCCTGCGGCCTTGAGCATGCCAGCAGCTTTCTCTCTCTAGATCAGGAGCTTCTCGATGGCATCCTGACCATGGATGAGAGAGGTTTCGGTTGGAGCTGAGATTGAGGTTTAAAACAAGAAAAAGGAGATGGCGAAGATTGCAGAGGATCTTTACCTTGAGCTGCTGTATTTGGGATTTCAACTGGCTACCTTCGTTGCTGGTCACGGAGCAGGCAATCACCGGCCTGGTGACCCCGCATGCTCGGCCAAGGGCTTGCTTGGAAGGCACAAAGACATACGGTACATTCTAGAGAGAGAAACAGAGAGAGATATCAGCTTCTGTGCATTCATGTAGTCCTCGGTCCTGAGTTTATTTGGGAAGGTAAAAAGGCATAGCGTACATTGTTTATATACATAGAAAGAGTTCTTGACCCAAAAAGATCAGGTGTATTCTAGAGAGACGGAGAGAGAGAGAGAGAGAGAGAGAGAGAGAGAGGGAGGGAGGAGGGAGGTTAGCTTCTAGGCGGCGTGCAAATAACTCCAGGCCAAGAGCTTGCTTGGAGTTGAACAATGACATAGGGCAATGGATATGCAAAAAACTAGCATTGACTCAACAAGAATCACAAAAAGGTCCCCTCATTTCACGGGTCTGACCAGAAGCCGGAGCATTCTCCTAGATGAACAGCAATAACTGTTTTTCAAGAAATCTTTGATAGAAGTACAGATAATATGTCGGGAATCTTTGAGACCACCTGTTCTAATCTTTTCATTCTTCTTCTCTCTAACTATTAGACTTCTATCTAGGATATCGATATTATGGGAGAAAGAACATCGTCAATGGTGTATATACGTTAAGAGTCCCAGGGATGAACATGATCAGCAGAGAGATTCTGAAGCTATTGCATCCCCTAGAACACCAGCCCACGCCTGAATGCTGACCATGGGCGTAGGCATGGACGTTGGACAGAGGAAATGATCTAGAGCAGCTCAAATGCTGCAAGGACATTGGTACGATCATGAGAACGAACTCTCTGATCGAAACTCTGTTGATACGAAGAAAAAAACGAAGAATCTAATCCTGTGAAGAGCAATAAAGCTATAGTGTAATTACAGGCAGACGGATTCATGAAAAATGGATATCATCATGAAAAAAGTGGAGCGGTGCCAGAAATAGTTCCGAAGAAGAATTAAAAGAATGGATTCGATTATTACCTCCATTTTTTAATAATTACAAAGTCCGCGAAAAAATATGAGAGAAAAAAAAAACTGGATGAATAGAATCACGCGTAGAATAATCTTCAGATCAACATTCTTCATTTTTTTAAAGGAGAAGATTACCTTGTCCTCGGCGAGCAAGGGAAGATGAAGGAGGATCTCAAGAGGTTCTGTATCCGCCGCCATCACTACGAACTCCGAAATACCCCTGTTCAGAGTCTTCGTCGCTGGCCAAAAAAAGGGACGCAGAGAGCTAATTACAAACACCATAACACACCAGATCCCCTCCTACACAACTAAAAACCAGATCTCGCAGACTCGTCCAAAGGGGAGACCCCAGAAGAAACAGAATCGGCGGAAGAGACAGAACAAAACCTTCGTTGGCGCCCTTCTTGAGCTGCTTGTAGTTGGCGGCCTGCTGGACGAGGTCCAGTATGGTGATTGTGAGCTGCGCATCCGCCAGGGGGTACGCTTTAGGGTTTACTGCTTCGTTGGTCTGCCAAAGAGAACAAAACCCGGGAAATGAATCAACAAGAACAACAGCAGCACGAAGGAAGGAGAGGAGGGAGGAAGAAGAGAAAAATCCAGAGAGAGGCAGTGATTCTCCACCATCTTCTGCAGCGAAAGATTCGGATAGGGATCGCCTCCTCTTCGCCTTCCTTCCTCGTAGGGTGGGTGGGATTGGGAGAGGAGAGACGCGCGGAGGGTTTCTGTTGGCTCGAGGGTTTTTCAATCGAGCTTGCCCTAGCTTCGCACGGGGACTGTACACGTGTGACCAATAATAGTGTAAACTTTTTGGTAAAATAAATAAATAAAAAGCAATAATTTTCAAGAAAAAAAAATTACTCAATTCAAAGGTTATTATGCATGTGTCTCCATAAAGCCCTCTATTAACAGATATTCCCCTCAATATTTTCGCTTAGTACTCTTCCCAACTAGTATTATGTATCCAAAGAGGATTTTCTATTAAAAAGATTATGTTATTTTATTTAAAATGTTAATGGTGAAATAAAATTAGATTATTTAATGATAATAATAATATATACATTTTTTTTTAATCTCCGTACTAATAATCTATGTTTGATGATATGCATTATTAAGACGTGTTTACCAAATATATCCATTAATTCATAAAAAGAGTAAAAAAATCAAGAAATTACATGTAACAAGATAAAGGTGGAGCATGCGATATATTAATTTTATTTTTGGCCACGTAATACATTTTATTACTTCCCACTACATATATCTCACACAAATCATGAGGAAACACTTATCAAAAGATATTACACTTTAGAAAAAACTTATAAAAAAGATACTTAGGTGTGATGGGAGCTCTAACTTTTGACATCATAATTACACTTTAGAGGATTATTGATGTGTGTTAGAAGTCTAAGTGTTTTGATGATAAGCATAGTATGTGGGGGTAGTTTAAACATATACTTCAGTATTGATTTGTTTTATTTGTTAATATGGTGTTCTAAAGTATCTCTAAGTGAGTTTAAGATGATACACTAATTTGGGTATCTAGATTTGAATGTTATCTATCAAAATAATAGTGTGGAATATTTGTGATTTTTTTCTTGATTTATTTCAAGTTAAAAGAAGCATAAATAAGATATAATACAATTGATTATAGGGCCTAGATTTAAAGTGAAATGAATTTTATGATTGGGCCTAAATCAAAGATGTAGTGGATTTATTTATTGGGCTTGAATCTAAAGCATAATAGAAATGGTTCATGATTTTTATGAAAAATGTTTCATATATCTATTTTTTCTATATTGGGTATAATTTCTAAATACATGTTCAAAAGGTTTTGAATACTTCACATTTAATTGAATGAATCTATATGTAGTACTACATTATATTCATGAAACTAAAACAAATTATTTACTACATTTATGATTAATATCAAACCAAATGACCACTTTCTATATTCACAAAATTAACAAACTAATTTCCATAATTATGATTTAAACTGAAACTTAATGACCTTTTTTGTATATATAAAACTAAAATATATTGTCTCAATACATGAACCATTTCTGATTTGATTAGACATATTTTTATAATATTACACCTAAAAAGCCCTAAAATCTCTTATTTTGCAAGTGATCTCTAACCAAAAACACGAAACATTATTTGATCCTCAAGCTCTTCAACTACTCTTTCATGGTAAAGCTTTCTCCATGATAAATCAGATTATTGAAGCCTCTAAGAAGTTAAGAGTTGAATGCCAATAATGATGACTTGTTCTAACTTTATACTTAGTGTGGAATCATATAAAATGGGTTGTCTAGAGTTTGAATCTAGATGTGGTCAATCTTATTAGCCTCTTAGAGATAATATGTCTCATTTGGCTAAGTTGCTAAGAGTCATGAAGTATTAAAAGTGATTTGAATATTTCCAAATTACTTATTGATAAGTCTTCATTATCATGAGTTAATAATTAGTAAATAATATAGTTTTAGCCTTAACTCATGATAAATAAACTTATATTTGTGTTAAAGTGTGAAAAGTGGTTTTCAATTAATTAATGTGGTTTTTTTAGTAATTATGTGATTTTATATAAATTTATATGATTTTTATAGTCTTACTTTTGAGATAAATAAAGAAAAAGAAATAAAAATAAAAATAAAAATAAAAATAAAATTGGGGGGACCTGCCGGCCAATTGGGCTCGCAAGCATGTCGGAAGCGCAGTCAGGGAGTAACTGTGAGTAGGGGCTCAAACGGCTTGGACCGATAGGGGTATGTGTGCGCCACTCTCCTTCCACGTCACCGATGGTCAACCGACTATGGGGCAAGGAGTGGTCGTACATGTGCAAGAAAGTGACTTGCTTTCAAATGTAACATTATTATATATTCGCCCGAGACTTCGGTGCACAAGCGATGTGAGACTAAACCTGCGTCACACCTTCCCTAGAAAGGGCGGGCAACCAGCCAAAACTCATATTTTTTTATCTGATTATCGCGACTTTCCTGCAAATCACCGGTGAAGGATTAAGCAATCAGAATCGTTAGATCATCGGTGAAAATTTCATCAACACGATTCGCAGAGTATTGTTACTAAAATTACTGAGCAATTCGTGATAAAAAGATCGTGAATCCATTGAGTAAATCATCTTTGATTGATCGACAAACAAGTCGTCGTCGAGAAGAGGACGATCCGTCGGGAGATGAGTCGCCACCTCTTGAGAGTGTACTGGATGCGATGAAGAACCTCTTCTTGCTGTGCGGACATGAGGATGAAGCTCTCTAACATGCGCCTCACCTCCATCCAGCTCCTCTCCATCAGGTGACAGCCGCCGGAGAGTCGCAAAGTCGCCGTTTTTCCGCTCTACCGAGTGACAGTCACCGAAGATGATTCGATGACCCATTTCATTGATCTCTAAACTTCGCAAGGAGATCTAGAGATTGCCCACATCGTCTTTGTCCAAAGAGAGCTTTCGAGGCCGTAGACACTGCACGACGATCCTCTCAAATGCTCAGGATTTCGGTGCATCGTTGACGCATCGCTGCCGCGACGTTGGAACTCTGTTTTTCTACTTTCAACTTAATTTTCACTTCATTTAGTGATAATTTGTGTGATTTAAATTTACCAAGATATATTTCATTCAATTACGATTTTTCTAGCTTTTACAAATCTTAATTTGATCAATTAAATTGGTTATAATCACTTACGTAAGAATCACCAGGTGTAACTCTATTTCTGCGTGATTCGCGTTCGCCGAGCACTGACGTCATCTTGACGTTGACGTCCTCACCCTTATTTCCCTTTTTCGTGAATTTTAAATATATTTTATTTTCATTTCTTAGTATAAAATTCATAGAAAATAATATTCTTTGAGAAAAAATCTGAATAATTACCCGATATTATTTACATCCCTGTGATTGACTTGGAAAATTATTGTTATTTTTGGAAGTTTTATTAAATTATAATTGATATATTTGTTCATAAATACTTCTAAATATTTAAAAATTCATATTTTCTAGTTTTATAAACTTTAAATTTACATAATTTACTATACAACGACTAAGTCACGTCACTTATAACCTATAAAATTTAGTTGGTTGCTAAACTTAGAATCCATATCAAAATGTCACACCTCTAAGAAGAAAGGTGAGGACACCCTCTAATGAAATGTGTGCTATTAAATCAATATGCTTGAAAAAAGTTTTGAATCAATGTGCTATTGAAAGAATTGTTCCCTCTTCTATTAATGAAAACTCTTGAGTAAGAGTGATTTCCCTTTTGAAATAACTAACTCTACAAAGTCTCATGGAAGACTAAGGGTACACATGATGGAATAGAAAAATATATCAACTATCAACCAGCTCAGAATCCAATGTGGAGATTAGAATAAGCCAAGGAAATCAGACCACTATAAATATGTGCTGTGAATGTGTTGGTGATTATCTCTATGAACATAATTTGTTGTATAACACTAATTAAAAAAAATTGATTTACCCCCCTTCCTAATATCATGTCATCACTTAAACACCAACAATTATTACATGATGCTTTGTGATAGTTTGAGTGATTATATAACATCTCATCCACCTAAAAAAAGTTATTAAAAAATATATATAATACATTGACTATACCATCAACCATAAGGATAATGAAACTTGAAATAATCGTGAATTGAAAACTTATAAAAAACCTTCTACAACACCAAAGGAAAGCTTTCTTGATTAATTATATGGGTCTTAACTATGTTTAATGTATGCCATACTCTATCTAGTAGTGCAAAATGTATGCACGAGCTAATATTTTAACTATGCATATTTTATATGTCATTTAATTCCTATAAATATGGCTTCACATTGAACGATGCCAAAATGCTTGTTGGAAGGTCTTCATTTCACAGATTTTCACCATTTGTGCAAAATAATTTTACTAACATTTAACAATACAAGGTGTCACAATCTTAATGACATATGTTGACATGATGAGGTCAATTATTGAAATAAATCAACATAAGACCCTCATTTAGAGAAAAAAAATCTCCCATTATTTTTTCATGTAAGATGCATGCATAAGGATTGGTCCTTAAATCTTCAAGTGCATTTTTGTCCAAATATAAAATAAAATAATGTGGATAGTTGAGACACATGACACATGACACATGAACGTGTATTTTGTTTAACTTCTCAAGCCTTTTTCTCAAATTAGGTAAACATTAACCCTATTTTAAACATGATAAGAGAGGGAGGTGTGATGCCATGATAAAAGATGAGTAACTTCTCTAAATTTAGTGGTTTACAAGGGCATATCGGAAAAAAAATAGCCCTACCATGAAATAAAAAAAATATTTTTTTAATATGTATTTAATGTTAAACACAAATTGATACAACCTTAGATTTGAAGTAATGTGAGGGTTTTTTTTTTTTTTTCAAAATTTATGAGGGGAGAATGCAGATTCCAAAATTTGCTAAGAAGACCAGATATATATACTGCCTCTGCATTTAACCACCGCCCCCAAAGAGGCTATCAATGAGGAAGTGGGTTAGGTCCATGTATTTCTCTCTCTACGACTCGGACCCTTTTCTTCAACAAAGACGAGGAATAGATCCGTTATCCATTTGCGTCCGATTCAAAATCTCGAGGCGGTCTTCTACAACGGTCATCTTAAATTTTTAAAAAAGCAGCTGTTATTAACACGCCGCGAGGTCGGTCGACCACCACTTTTCCTTTCTTTCCTACTTGCTGGACGATCTGGGTCTAACGAATGATGTGAGCCGGTGGGATCGACTGAACTGCGAGTGAAAGGGGTGAGAATAACACACAGGGGGGGGGGGGGGAGAAGCTCGCTAAAAACTAGCCGTTACCTTCCCAGTAAAATAGGAAGGATCTCCTCGTCTCTCCCACACTCCGGCGATTCTCTTGCCATTTATTCCAGATCTCCCCGCCAGCTAACTTTCCATTTCTCCTTTCCTCCCCAATCTCCTCTGAGTTCTGCAGATTTCCTCGGGAACGAGCTTCATGGCGAACAGGTCCCCCTCCCCCAATCTCTCCAGGACCCATAGCGGCAAAAGCCTCAAGAAACTCCCTTGGGCGAACCCTAATTCTTCCAAGAACAGTCCCTCTGGTAAGTGAATCATCATCGATTTCCTGGCTTCGATCGATCTTCATGGTTTCGATCTTTTGATTTTCTTCGTTGCTTTTCTGCAGATACTCCTCAGAGGGTGCGGGCGGCGATCGAGCAGGACGAGAATGAATCAGATCCGAAGATGAACAGGGCGAGGTCTCCGGCAGCAGCGGCGCCGCCGTTCAAGGGCGCCAAGAACTTCATGTCTCCGACCATCTCCGCCGCGTCCAAGGCCATCGCCGCCGCCTCTCCCAAGCGGAAGGTGTTGTCTGAGAGGAACGATGGCACCAGATCTTCTTCCCTCACCACTGATTGCTCCGATTCCATGGAATCGGAAGTCTCCAATCCGATGCTGGAGACGGTCGACAGCGGCGGCGGCGGCGGCCACCACTGGGAATCCCCGAAGATCATCTTCTCCGGAGCTTCACGGGAGATGCTCAGATCGAGGCCACTCGAAGATGATTTCCCTATCGAGGAAGTTCCCCTCTGCAACAACTCTCCGGCCATGGTTTCTGAAGAGGAAGATCCCTCACTTCTTCATCTTCCTCCTTACGATCCCAAGACCAACTATCTCTCCCCCAGGCCTCGGTTCCTCCATTACAGGCCCAAACCGCGAGTCGACAGAGCAGAGGAGCTCCTCGTCCATGGCGATGGCGGACTGCAGCTCGAGGAGAGGTTCTCCTCTGAGAGCTCCAGCGAGACGAGCGGGCGGAAGATCGAAGAAGAGATCATGTCCTCCTCTGAGGTGGAGGAATCCGGGGAAGAAGTTCTGAATGATGGTTCTTCTGATTACCTGGAAGAAGATCCGCCCCTTGCTCGTTCTTCATCCAGATCCAGATTAGTGATCTTATCCGTCGTCGTCCTCCTGATCACCGGCCTCCTCGGAACTGCGATGCAAAACCCTAAGATCTCTTCTTCCTCTGGTTTCTTCGAGATGGAATCGATCGGGGAAATGCATCTGAGAGATCCCTTGGCTGGATTCAGGGATCGAGGTCACCTGAATCTCGAGAAGCTCTCCGTCAAGATCAAAGACTGGTCGGTTGAATTTGTCGCTTCTCTCCGGGCGGTCACTCGCGTTCTTGCTTTTCCACATGAAGATCTCGGATTCTTCTACTCACTGGAACACCATATTGAGGAGGCTGAGAAGGAGCAATATCTGGATCAAGGAGTCGCCATTGACGCTGGAGTTGCAGAGCACAGTAATTCTCAGACGAAGATAGAGACGGAGACTGAAGAAGAAGAACAGAAACAACATGCGGAAGAAGGAGAATATTCTGTGGAGGAGGAGGAGGTCGCAGGGGAGATCAAGGAGGAAGCAGAAGAGCGGGATCTGGTCCTTCCTGATACCTCCAGTGTAGATGATCCGGACCTAACCAGTCCCAGAAGTGAAGAAGAAGAAGAAGAAGAAGAAGAAGAAGAGACTTATCTGAGTTCTCGAATGGAGGATATCGTCGTCGGCGATGTCCTAACCAGTCCCAGAAGTGGTGAAGAAGAAGAAGAAGAAGAAGAGCCTTATCTGAGGTCTCGGGTGGAGGACGTCGTCGCCGGCGATGCCGAGGAGAGAGAACCAGAAGCCGCCATTATTTCCGGCGAAGTCCTCTCACAGATCCACCAGCCCACCGTCGGCGGCGCAGAAGAACACGATCCCCTACCAGGAGCCGCCGGTCTTCTTCTTCCTTCTCTGCAGACTCTGCTGGGTACATCCTCTGTTCTTCTAGCTCTCGCCGCCATCGCCATCGCCCTCCGCGTCAAGCAGAATCACGACGGCGGGGCACCGTCGGCCAAGAAGGTGACCTCGGCGGAGCTCGCAAGCCGGTCGCCGGAAACCGCCATGACGACGGGCGAATCCTGTCCATCAGAGAGCAGCAGCAGCTTCTTCCATAGCGACCGGAGGGGACGACTACCTGAAGATAGGAGCCTGAGGAGGGATTCCACTTCTTCCTCGCAGTCATTTGGAAGCTTCACCGCCTACGAGAAGCTCTCCGGTAAAAAGGTGCGCCACAATCATCTTCTCTCTCTCTTTCTCTCTTTCTATCTCTTTCTATCTCTTACTCAGTTTCTCTCCCAACTGTTCTTGAAGGGATGCCGAGAGGACGGCGGGATGACCCCCGTACGGCGGTCGAGCAGGATCCGCAGCCACCAGGCCGCCTCTCCGTAGGAATTGGAGATCTTCTTCCTCCCTCCGTAGAATAGAATTAGAATTCTCGCTCTTCTTCTCCGTGAAGAAGGAGGCTAACTTTAGTTCAACTGCGATGCCTGTATTCTCTCTCTCTAGGTCTAACTGGGTTGACTAGTTTGAAGGTCAGTCTGTCAATTTGATGCATCTACCAAAGTCAACTCTCTTTCGATGTTGGGTTGAATGATGTCAGAGGCTTAGGTTGCCAACCCGGCTCTTATCCGACTCTCTCACCGAGAGAGCGGTCGTGGTAGGCAGGCGGTAGGCGTCAGTGGGACATCCACTAGAGAGGATGGGGGGGAGCTGGAAATGCAAAAAATATAAATTATCATAAAAACAGTATATTTATTACTTCTATCATGCAATTATAGAGAGGAGTGTGAGAAAGCATGCAATTATTTACCAAGAAAAAAAAAGAACAGAGTATTATGACGTTAGGGATACCTTCTCATCTCGACCGTTGACCTCTAATCCGAGCTGCTCCGTCGTCGATCCAGTTGTCTGGCTTGAGTGGAAAAGTATAGATACATCCTCCTGTAAATGCATGGTAGCAGATCGAACTCGGGAGGAATAAAAAAGAATCACTAGACAATGGGGGAGAGTAAGAGAGAGAGAGAGAGAATAGGTATTGTGGCAAGCACGAACAGTCAATGTTCTGTCAGTCCCCACCACGCAAATTCTCTCTCTCTATCTCTTCTTCTCTCCTCTTCTCCTTCTCGCACTTCCGCTGCGGCCTTCAGCTCTATTTCTTTGTCGTAGATCTGATCTCTTACCTCCACTGCCTCTGGTGCTGGACATCGTCTCCTGCGCCGCATCGCCTTCCGCCTTCCGCCGGAGGACTGCCGGTCGTTGTCGCTGGTCCAAGTCCTCAGTGAGCGGAGGGGAGCTCAACTTCGCCGGAGTTCCAGACGAAGCTGAGCTCGAGCATCTTTTTTTTCTTCTCTCTGGTTCGTCTCTCATCCCTCTCTCTCTCTGTCTATCTGCCTTCTTTTTTGTGTCAGCAAGAATGGCCAGATCTACTGTCCCTCCCTCTTTCTTCTCCGTTTTCGCTTCTCATTTTGCTCCCGTCGAAGCTTTTGGAGGCGTAATCGTTGGGTTTGACCTCCGAGGTTCGTGCCTCCCACGTTTCCTCCTGAAATAGGGCTCCGAGTTTCGTTTATTCTTTCCTGAAGAGATGATCTGCGCTTGCGATCGACGATAACTGTTAGTTTAGGGAAAAGAAAGATTCGACTTCCTCTTTTATACCTGAGATTCCTGGTCCTCGGATTTCCCGTGTTTCATTTGTAAACACGATCGGAAATTTGAAGAACATGTGCAATCTCGATCAGTGTTTCAACCCTTCTGTTGAAATCCAGGGTAAAGGGGCAGACATGATGAAGCAGTCGTTCGGCAGAAACCAGAGAAACGGAGGCTGGAGGGTGAAGCACGGGGTTCAGATACTCATCTTGATATCCGTCTGCGTCTGGTTGATGTACGAGGTGAAGCACACGCACGACAAGAGGAAGGCCCTGGAAGAGCGGAGCCTGGGGATACCAGACAGATTGGAGACCAGACTAGATTTCCTGAAGCTGGGGAGGAAAGATCTGGACCAGGGCAGCCTGGAGATAGACAAGGACTTGAAGGACGAAGGGGAGGAAGAAGCCGAAGAGGAGGAGCACGCGCAGGAAGAAAGGAAAGGGCTGGTGGGAGACGATGATGTAGATGAGAGCGATCGAGAGGGCTCCGACGAGGACGGCCAAGATGAGAACGGAGAGTTGAAGAGTGGGGGGACATCAGGTACCCAGGAGCAGGAGGAAGACGAGGATTCTCAGGCAGCGCGAGAAAAAAATTATGAAGCAGATGATGCTGCCAGCGCTGTCCGTAAGGATTCTCAGGAGATGGATGAGGGCAACGGAAATCCCGGCGAGAAGAATACGGAGGAGCAGGAGAGCGAAGAAATTGAGGAATCCGAGAATAACGAGACAGAAGATGCATCTGGAGATCCCTTAGAGGAAGAGCGGGAGAGCCTAGAAACTGAGGAATCTGAGAACAATGAGAGAGAAGATGAATCTGGGGAAGCCTCAGAGGAGGAGCGGGAGAGCCTAGAAACTGGGGAATCTGAGAACGATGAGAAAGAAGATGAATCTGGGGAAGCCTCAGAGGAGGAGCGGGAGAGCCTAGAAACTGGGGAATCTGAGAACGATGAGAAAGAAGATGCATCTAGCGAAGCCTCAGAGGAGGAGCGGGAGAGCGTAGATACTGAGAAATCCGAGGACAATGAGGGAGAGGATGCATCTGGGGACGCCTCAGAGGAGAAGCGGGGGAGCATAGATACTGAGAAATCCGAGGACAATGAGGGAGAGGACGCATCTGGGGACGCCTCAGAGGAAGATAAACAGCGTGATGCTTCTCCAGATGGGGAGATCCAGCAAGTTACCGAAGAAAGGGGATCTGATAATGGAACTCTCCATCTTTCGAAGACCTTGGTCGAGAATGGCAACACAACGGCATCTGATCCAATGGATTCGGTAGAGGAAGAGAGGAATTCCACTGTCACTGTCTCTGATGGGGGAGACGATGCTGAAGTCACCGGAGAATCCCTTCCTGGCGATTCGACATCCAATTCCACAAATCTCACGGAACAGCAGAACATCAACGCAATCGCATCCAGTCCCGGAGATCAGATCGACGTCGGGCAGAAGAGCCAGTCGAACTTAATCCTCTCCGACGAGCAAAGAGAAGCGCAGAATGCGACCTCGGCGGACGATTCTTCCCCTGAGAGCGAAGTCAGCACCGAGAATATCACGAAGGAGACGGCGAACTCCACCGAAGGAGATTCTGGATCGGAGATCGTTTCTACGTTGCAGGCAGGGAACTCGAGCGGCACCGGCGGCGGGGACGGATTTTCGACCTCCTCCGAGGAAGGCGGCAAAGCTGACGACGACGACACCGGAGGAGAATCCTCCGGTGACTCCTCCGGCGACTCCTCCGGCGACTCCTCCAGCGACGGCTCTTCCATTGTTGACGTAGAACGAGAGACTCTGGCCGAGCTTACCGCTCTCCCCGATCTCCAGGTGGAGGCGAAGAGCTTGGAAGAAATAGCCGCCGAGTGACCGCCCCCGCCAAAAAAGAGGCGAAGCGCCGACCAAGAAGCTTTTATTTCAGGGGTACATATGTAATATCACATACTCAAATTTCATTTCCAATAAATCCAAGTCGTCCCGCTCGAACCGGCCCGGCGAGTCCCAGCGCGTTGACTCATGAAACCGTGAAGAACTCGTAAGTCAACAGTCAACGACAAGCAGTTAATGGGGAAAATTACGAAGTCTGTCCAGACTAAATGAAATTTGACCTTAGTCAACCACTCAAAGAGGGATCGCGATCAATAATAAATATAACAAAAAGGAATTAATGGAAGCTTCAATCTTTCTTGGAGGCTGTGGGCGGAGACATGTGAGCTTCCCACTGGAGCAGCATCCATATGATTGATGTTCCTGAACAGAATCAGAAGAGGTTACGTCAATAAAATGAACAAAACCTTCAACCCAGAAGGTCAATCTATACCGTCCGGTGACAGAGACCCTGTCCTTGACTAGCATCAAACAAAGCATTCAATGGAGGTTGACTTTTATTGATCATCTGGGGACACTATCTGTCAAGAGATTAATGATCCCCACAGGGCGCACTACCAAGTGGACCTCGCCATCAAATTGTGATGGGCAATGAGATGAACCTCAACAGAGGGGTTTCTGCACATCCGAGCAAAAACCCTGTTGACTTTTGCAGCAAAGTCTATTGCAACTATTACCCACTATTTAACTCGACGTCCAAATATGAAACATGGAAGGTTTTGACTTTGTGACATTAAGCTCCTCAACCATATGATATCTATTTCGATTCCTCCAAGGGTATGTCTGAAGATCATATAACATGTACAGACCATGGAAAAAGAAGGCGTGCCTTAAATTCTCTGATATTTTTTAATGAATTATTAGACCATCCAGCTCAAGATTTGTTGGGAATAATCAGCAAGCCCATTTTTATAATTACAGTTTGTAATAATCATTACGGGACTATTCTCAAGACTGAAGGAAGGAATGGTGTGATCCCCCAGAAAGAGGTGTCGAGACCATGGAATATATATATATATATATATTCTGAGAGGATTATCGGAACATACAAGTCAAAAAGAGTAACCAGTTCATGAGAAAGAAATTAATTCTTATAGTAATTAATACGCGTGGCCATATGCTCTCTGAATTTTTTTCTTATTATATAACTGTTTGAACATCGAACCGATGCAGAATCAATACTATAGTAATTCTTATTTTTTTCTTGTAGTAATTCATATATACAGGCATTCAAACGGATTTATATCGATCGAGGGAAAGAACGGCATGGAAATTAATCATGAAACAATTCAAGCTATGGCAGGAATGTTCTTGCCGAGTACCTGCAAAGAACCCGACGGTGGTCAGATTGGCGACGGCCATCGTGTGGTAGATCAGATACTCGGTCAGAAAATGTCCCAAGGCGTAGATGAAGGAGAGGAGGGTCGCAATGTAGAGGGGCTTGTTCTCAAGGTTGAATGCACAAAGAAAACACAGTGTGCATGTTAGGAGCGTCCACACTCCAAATGTCCTGCCGTGAACATCCGTCACTGCAAAAAGGGAGAAACAGGTTTCCCGGTGGACTTATAATGAGAAGAACGAGAGATTCTAAGAACAATCACTTCAAATTTAGCAGAGAAATCATGTCCGACCGGCGGAAATGTATCGTCACAATTTTATCATTGATTCATCGGCTTGATGTTTAAAATAGGTGGTTACCACCCTTGTCAGATCCAAGATGTGAGAAATAGATGATTTCTGCTCGATGAGGCAAGATCTCGTCTGAAATCTGCTATCGTGGCGTGCCATCGCCAGATTCATTACCATGCTAGATCGATTCAGTGAAGTCTCTGCTCGCCGCTTGTTCTCATCTGAAAACTGGTAACATGAAATAGAACTGCACGGATGCCCTAACAACTACCAACTGCCGAGATCGGCATCTTCTTCTGACATCTTCTTTAAATGGATATACCTGAGGGATTTCAGATCATCGGCCAGTTGGAGCAAACCGGTTCCCCACTTCTACTTCTTCATTCGCTAAAACGCAGGCAGGAAGATGTCCAGACGATTCAAATCAACAGGGAGTAAGAATCCCCCAAGTGGCCGGAAAGACTCTTCCATCAATTACATCAAGGATATCCTATTTGCGTTGGAGAAGACGGCGAGAGAGAGAGCTCACTATTGGCGTTGGAGAAGACGGCGAGACGCAGCGCCCAGATGTCGAAGAAGCCAAACCAGACGGCGGCAAGGCGGAGAGAACCCACCAGCATTAGCCACCGCCCCAACGCCTTCATCCTCTCTCTCTCTCTCTCTCTCTCTCTCTTGTGGCAAAGCGAGCTTCCATAGATTAAATCGTAGGAAGAAGGGTTATAGTGGGTGTTCATGGGCTCCGGATTTATAATGGGCTGAGCCGCCACATCACTACCCTCTCTCAATGTAGGCCCAGCCCATATTCTATTAAAAAATATCCACTGAGGTTCAATCCGGAGAGAGAGAGAGAGAGAGAGAGAGGGAGAGAGAGCATCTTGATATTCTCCGCGCCCTTGCTTCGTCAACGCGTGTTGTCACCTCGGGAATGGAGTACACCGGACACGATGAATATCACTGGAAGGAGAGAGAGGCGGCTTCATATTTACGAGGAGGTCTTTATTTATTTGAAGTACTGCATTAAAACCCTGCAAGTCACGCAGAAGGAAAGCGTTGACAACACTCGACAACTATGTCGTATTTATTCTAAAAAAGGTTAAAAATGAATATCTGCAGTTTCTAGGACTAATAAGAAATAGCTGTTGTTACCATCATCTCCGTGTAGAGCGAGGTCGTATTCGGGGGCGGAGGACTGGTTTCGTGCCCGCGAAGCTCGTGCCTCCCCCGGTTCCATCTCCTCCCCCTCCCCATATCCTGGCTATTTCTTCCATTTCCCATCCTCTGATCTCGTCCTCCCCGTGATCCCTCCATTGATCCGCTACCTTGATTGCTGCTGCTGCTGCTGTTGCCCGTTTGGTCTCTATTAGTTGTGTTGTCTGGGGGAGTGAATTGGTTCTTCGGATTTCGAGATCTCTCTTCAGACGTGTCTGAAGGCCATGGCGTCATCAGCGCAGCTCCGTCTCATGTCCGATCTCAAGGCTATCCGGAACGAGGCGCCTGAGGTAGGATTCCTCCGATCGGTTTTCTGTTTCCTTCGTGAGTCGGTGTCGGCGGATCTGGTTCGATGTGTTCGATTTTGCGGGTGGAGTGTTGATCCGGATGTGATATTGTGGTGTGGTGGAGGCAGGGATGCAGCGCGAGTCCCATGTCGGATGAGAATTTGTTCGTGTGGAGCGCCACCATCTTCGGCCCCGATGAGACCCCCTGGGAAGGTGATGGAATTTCCGCTTCACCGGAATTCAATCAATGCCTCATGATATCTAATTTTTAGTACCATCTTCATCATTACATCAATTATTTTCTGAAATTTAGGTGGTGTTTTTGGTCTGCGACTGACGTTCGGGGATAACTACCCGGAGAAACCTCCTCGCGTCCGCTTCACTTCCGAGATGTTCCACCCTAATGGTACCTGCAAAATCTCTCTCTCTCTCTCCCCTCTCTTGCGTGCAGTAATATGATTCACATTCTTTTGATAATACGATATCCAAGCTCTTCCAAAACGGAAGGGAGTTTCATATCTCGAGATTCGAGCTGTGAATACGCCTGTCGGTCAACCATCAGACATTAGTTTTTTTTCAAAAAACATGTCAACACCTGTCGAGCTTTTCTTTCTACTGCGGCTCGAGAAGTGTTGAAAAATGCACGTTGTGCTGCTGGACGAGGATTTCCCCATGCATTCTTTCCTCTGGGCCATCGTTGACCTTCCTTCGTTTTGTATATATATTCCAATTATTTTTTTTAAATTTTCCCTCTACGTCTGTATTACTTTACTGGGTAATCACCGCGATGCCTATTTTCCTTATTATAAAAATGTAAATAATTTCTTCCTTTTAGAAGATATTGCATCAGATTGATAGCCATGATTTTCTTGAGGGATTGGGGTTATGTGATCATGCCGGCCGCCTTCCTTCTTGTAGCCATGTCACATCTGATTAGATTATTATTACCTAATTAAGTCCTGTTTTAATGGGTATGCAGTCTTCAATGATGGAACTCTGTGCATGGACATCATCCAGGATGCTTGGTCCCCCTGTCACAATGTCTGTACGATCTTGACCTCAATCCAGGTCTGGTTCATGTTTCTCGCTTCTCTCTTCAAGCTCCATATAAATGGTCCTCTTTTCTCCTCTCCGGCATCTGATCAAACGCCTGAATCTCTTGCAGTCGCTCCTCACCGACCCAAATCCGGCAAGTCCTGCGAATCCTGAAGCAGCCCACCTCTTCCAACATGACACCCAGGCCTACAACAGGTCCCCTCTCCTGGTCTCTTCATCTTCTTCCTCTGGTTCTCTCAAACCCTAACTTCCTCATCCGTTCCCCTCCTTCTTCCCTCCTTTTTTCTTCTTTTCGGTTTGCAGGAGAGTGCGGCGCTGTGCTCGAAGATCGATTGAATAATGGCTGACCCTCAGGATCTCCAATCGTATCCTGGTCAACCCAAGAATCTGGCTTCGGTTCCATCTATTATTTTTATCAATTATTTTTATCTTGTGATCAGTATGTGTATGATCAGACTGTAGATCTCGTGATTCTGCACTGGGTCTAGCTGATCCGACGTCCGGCCAATCCAAGTCCACGGCATCTGAAGGTGTAAGGTTTCCGCGAAAGTATTAACAGATTTTATTTATACATTTATCGAGTAAATTAATTTCAGATATTTATCGTATACTGAGTTCGTGGATCGGCCGATTCCGCCGACCCGCCACGGCTCGCCCGGGAATGGCATCGTGTAAAATAAATATTTTGCGTTATACCCAAAATATGTGGGCATTGGCATTAATAGCCTTATATATATCAGTATTTGAGAGATAGCCCTAGTACGAGTGATTGACGGAGGTTGTACTAGGAGAGCGAGAGAGAGAGAGACAGAGAAAGATCTATATATATATAGCGAGAGAGAGAGAGAGAGAGGGAGAGAGAGAGAGAGAGAGAGAGAGAGAGAGAGCAAGAGAGCGAGAGAGAGAGTCTTCCTCAATCCGAGGACGCTCGTCCGCTGTTTACGCGACCGACGAAGTCTGTGCGATCGACATATCTAGGATGTCGTCTTCAAGTTTCCAATGATCTATCTCTTTCTCTGTCTCTCCTTCTCTCTCACTCTCTGTGGTAACACGATTAGTATCTTGAGTTGACAATTTTTCTCTAAATGCGATTTTATTTTTTCTTAATCAGCGTAAAAATGAACTCATCATCGTGATGTTAGTTGAATACGCGATATTTAATGATTGTTGACTGGTGTTATTATAATAATATATACTGATTCAGGCCTTCACTGTTAGAGATGATCGTGTGTCTTTTTAGATAGGGATTAGGTCTGAGCGCTGTTCTTAGTTTGATCTACGGATTATTGTAGCTTCCCCTTCTTAATTTGGCCTCATGCTCAGTCTTGATCATTCTTCCTCGTTACTTCAACTACCCGCGGTGAATTGCCGAGGAAATCTAATGTCGTCGGCCGACGTCATCGTCTTCAGCTGCTCATGGTTCTCCCAACATAGATGATGGCGATCTGCTCATTCCACGTTCCACATCGAAGGGATCGCGGAACCGAGGTTAGAGTCGGCAGAAGCTCCCCCATTCGAGCAAGGGGGACAGGGAATCTGGAGTAGCTGGGCGACCGGAAATCTTCCATCGCGGTCCAAGAATATGATATCGCCGAGAATCTCCGGCTCGGTGGATTTCTCCCACCTCAAACGAGTTTTTCTTTTCTCTTCTCTGTTGTTATAAATATGGCAGAGCAGAGGCGAATACGGTCGCCTGGCGTATGAATATTTCAATCCAAGGATCAGACATTTTGTTTGAATTGTCGCCGGAGATTCGTTTGTGTATCGGTTGGTTAAAGTCGGCAAGATTGGGAATTCTCAGAGAAAGTTTTCGGCCCCATGTCTCAGAAGAGGACGGAAGAGCTCGAGAGCAGACGACCGAACAGATCAGAGCGAGGTGAGCCACCTACCAGAGTACGGTCATTGTTCTTGTCGCCTGGGTGGTAACCTTAGCCAAGGTATTCCCGCCGTCTGATTTTCTGGTTGCAGGAGATTCTTGGTAACAAATCGAGCACTGGTGCAACTGAGGGTAACTTTCATCCGAAGGTACGGTGGGTTTCAATTTTTCTACTCCCGGAGGAGAGAAAGCTCCCAGGAAAGAGCATTTCAGTCTGAGAGTTCAGGGGGTCTATGTACATATTATTATGACTACTGGACACTTGTAGGCAATATCATTTTGAACAATTAGAAACGGGCGAGGAAAATTGAGTTTTTCGAGCATAAGTTAATGTAGGAAAATGCTGGATTCAAGGTCTTCAGGATTATGCATTGGGTGTTGGTGAAAGGAAAGGATTTGGTCCAAGGAGAATGAGATCAGTGGAAGTTTCGAGTGCTGATCAATGCCGTTCTTATTGATTTCAGAGGGAGCGTCTGTTTTTGTTTTGCTTTAATCTTCGCAGTCTATCAGTTTCTTGAGTACTTCAAACCTTTTTCTCTCGATTTCCTTTAACTCATCTTTCAACTTAATCTCGTTTCGGATAGAAATACCCTCTATTAGGTGATTGAATGTTGAAGGGGCGAGTGGGCATGTGTAGGGCTAGTTAATGTAGAATGAATACGGCAAGTCTAATAATAGCTTCGACGCATGTGTAAAAACAAATTGTGTTCCTTGTTTTCTTTTACTCTTGAATGTTCCGGTGACTTGCTTCTTGATTCTCGAGTGTCTCATACAGAATAATTTATCCAGATTACTATTGTCCTTAGATAAGAGATGTTAGAGGAGAACAGTTCTGATGGAGCATATACATTTCTGTTAATTTCTCCATTTATGTTCCCAATGAGATAAAATAGAATCAACTACTATGCCCCATATACATTTTGGAAACCATCCCAAAGGGAAAATATTCGAGTTGATTGCTTTTCTCCTTGCACATTTCTAGATTTCCTTCTTTTGTAGAGGCTACTCTGCCACATCCACATTTGGCCTTTACAACCACAAATGAGCGTTATGACTCGTTTGCAGTTTCTCTAAAGAACAGCCTTTTGTATCTAGTTTTGTATCTAAAGAACAACCGTGATGAGCGTTATATACATTTTGCCCTTGTTGTTAGATAGCCCATCTTGTATCATCTCATGTGATCCACGATTCATACCTTTTTCGCTTATAACGTTTCTTGACAGATGGAACATGGGATGGGAATTGGCACACAAAGCAGTCTCACAGGCAATATCGTCCTGAACCACGATTTCTCCAGAGAGCTACTTTCGTGGCATAGCAATTGCTGTGATGCATATGTGGTCGCAGAGTCACATAAAAAACCCGACCAGATAGCTGCCAACTCAGGTCTTTTCTACGCAGTGGCCACAAAGAGGACAGAAAGCTGGCAAGGGTTGGAACAAGACATCACTGAAAGGATTTCACCAGGTTGTACTTACCTTGTTTCTGCCTATGTTAGAGTTTGGGGGTGTATTGAGGGATCTACTTCTGTCCAAGCTACACTGAGACTCGAGAAAGATACAACTATAGAATATTTATTTGTTGGAAGGTATTAGAACTGGATGTGCTCTTGTTAATACCTTTTTCCTATTTGGCTGATCATTTATTTCTTGTTCGTGGTTCCAGAATCGAGGCATCAAAAGAGAAATGGCATCAGTTGGAAGGTGAATTTTTTTTATCTAGCAAGCCCAAGCGCGTGGTTCTTTATTTTGAGGGGCCTCCCCCTGGTGTAGACTTGCTCATTGATTCCGTCTTGGCCTTGCCTTCCAGTCATACGCAGTTTGAGGTAGGTTTAACTGATTATGGATGTGCGTGAGGTTTTAATATTGAGCTTTTAATCTTTCTTGTGAAATTAGTTGTAATAATGATTACATCATATTCTTCTGCTCATTCACTTTGAGTTTTAAGTTTTCGATGGGAAAACAACATCTATGGTGAGATTTCTTTTTCAGAATATAGGTGATTTCAATTGGTTTCCCCGCTGAAAAATAATCATGGGATATGATGCTTAACACTGGAATATATTTTCTACAACATCAGAATTATGCTCAGAAACATTGGATGCTATTTTGGAACCCCAGCGATTGTAAATTATATTTATATTCAACATAATACTACTTGTATTCAATATGTGTGCATCATACCCTTTTTCGTTGCCTCTGTCACGGTTTTTTTTTAAAATTTTCCCCTCTTTAAATAATGAGTTTATGAGGGGGTTTTACTTGCTTGAATTGTGACAAAGAAGGCATTCTACCTTCTAACAGGTCAATTAAGGCTTGGTAAGATAGTCTTGACTGGGTGCCTTAGATATCATCATAGAACGTTGATGGCAAACAAAAATGTTATATTGAATGCCAAGATAATTTATTGGTTAGAACCAACCCAGCCTGATAGGCTATGATATCAATGGTGAATGCAATTTGAACTTGAAAAGTGCTGGAAAATGCTGGAAAATGCTGCTTCCTGTTCTATATTTTTCTGTCTCTCATTAAAAACTATATCGACTCTCAGTAGATTACGTTGTATGGTGGTGAATTTTTGCTCGTTATACCGACTCTGAATCTTTCTTCTCCCGAGTTTGAACATAATTTGGGTATATCAGTCTCGCTATACTTTTATGAGGTCATAGAACCACGAATAATCTTCCTTCTCTTTCACTGGAATCGAAGGCTAGGCCTACTCGTAATGGAGAAGAAAATATAACCAAGGACCCTAATGTTGACGACGGCCTCAAGAATCTTTCAGTGGAAGTAAAGGCCAAGTCTGCCAGTAACACAGAAGACAACATCATAAGAAATCCTAGATTTGAGGATGGCCTCCGGCATTGGTCTGGAAGAGGATGCAAACTTATCTTACATGATTGTATGGGGGATGGAAAAATACTTCCATACAGAGGGAAGGTCTTTGCTTCTACAAAAGAACGCCGTCAGAGTTGGAATGGAATTGAGCAAGAAATTACTGGAAGGGTACAAAGGAAGCTTGCATATGAAACGACTTGTGTTGTTCGAATATTTGGAACAGTTGACAATGCAGATGTGGAAGCCACTTTATGGGTTCAATCACCAAATGGTCGCGAGGAGTATATATGCATTGCCAAGTGAGTTTTATTACTGCCTCGATCGTTTTTAATTCATGAATATTAGTGACACATGACCAAATAATCATTTCTTAGTGATCTGTATCGCCCCGAAGATCTGTTCAGATCTCTTTCATCCTCAGTTTCTCTTAACATCGTGCCCATCTTATCCCAGGGTGCAGGCATCGGACAAGGAATGGGTTCATCTTCATGGAAAGTTCCTTATAAATGGGAGTCCATCGAGAGTTGTTATCTATCTGGAAGGTCCTCCCCCAGGTACAGATATCCTTGCTGCCAGTTTCGACGTCAAACGTGCAGAGAAGCTTCCACGTCTACCTCCGCCTAACTTTGAGGTTAGCAAATGGTTAATAGCCTTATTTTTCCGAAAGTAGTTCCATTAATTCATCTACTTTGACTAGACCCGCATAACATCACTCAAAGTTCTTGTCAGGATAGCATCTGTTGATATTGTCGGCACGTAGATTCTACCCTGTACTTTTGTAACGTCTACATTTTTCATGTCAGAGACACGAAAGAATTGCGGTTGGGTCAGGGAGACTCACAAACATCATCTCGAATCCTGGCTTCTCCGAGGGGTTGCATTTTTGGCAACCGAACAGTTGCAATGGATGTGTCGTCTCTGGGGCTCGCGCTTCTGCCGAGGGTGTGACCGCAAGATCAGGGGAAAGCTTTGCTGTTATTTCAGATCGAACAGAGTCCTGGCAGGGCTTGGAGCAGGACATCACGGACAGGGTCTCCATCACTTCTTCCTACACCGTTTCAGCATGGGTTAGGGTTTCTGGGGGTCAGCATGAGGCATGTGAGGTCCTCGCAACGATCAGATTGGAGTCCCCACATACAACTGCATCTTATATGTTGACAGGGAGGTAATACAACCTGTACTGGTACTACTCTTTTAGTTTCTATCCTATGAGTGTTGCTGAGTAGAAATCAGTTGACTGCAGGGTTTTGGCTTCAGAGAGGCGCTGGGTGGAGCTGAAGGGTTCTTTCTCTCTGTCGGATATGCCAAAACGGGTAGTGTTTTTCCTGGAAGGACCTCCTCCCGGAGTGGATCTTCTCATAGATTCTGTATCCATTGTCTCCTCACATCTGGACGTGCAAAAGGTGAAGTTGTAATGTCTTTCCAGTCTTCTGTGCAGTTGATAGAAAAGTAGGGTTTTGGCGAATGAGCTAGGTTAGGTACAAATCAGGTCTTGCTTGGAGATAATATAATCGAGAACATCTCATATAGTTGATTATTTTACACTATTTCCTCATAAATATAGTATTTTGTGGTAAATTTAACACTTTATTGTAATTTTTTTTAACACGTGCAAGCTAATTTATACAGAAAGCAGGGTCTTCTTTTCTAATTGAGAACAGCATGTATAGTTGACTTTTTTTTATTGAATTTTTATATAATTTTAGTTTACTGTTTCTCCATTTGATTCTGCAGAGGGTCTTGTTTGGGGAGAATATAATCAAGAACAGCTCTCTCACCGAAGAGCTGACCAACTGGCATCCCATGGGCGCCTGCACTCTGAAACTCTGCAGCGGCTCACCTGTCACGCTTCCTTCTTTGGCAAAGCAGTCTCTGGGTCACCACCTCCTCCTCAGCGGCCGCTACATACTGGCAACAGGCCGCTCTGAGGCCTGGATGGGCCCCGCTCAGACGATCACAGACAGGCTGAGGCTACACTTGACTTACCAGATATCTGCCTGGGTCCGTGTGGGAGCAGGAACTGGAGGTCCTCAGAACATCAACGTGGCGCTTAATGTGGGTCAACGGTGGGTCAACGGAGGCCAGATTGAAGTCAACGACGGTCAATGGTATGAGGTGTCGGGATCGTTCAGATTGGAGGAGGGGGTGGCCGAGGTGACCGTTTATGTTCAGGGGCCATCCCCTGGCGTTGACCTGATGGTCGCTGGGCTTCACATATTCCCCGTTGACAGGATCGGGAGGTTCGAATATCTCAAGAAGCAGACTGACAAGGTATTTGGGTATTAAAGAGTCTCTTGGCATTCTCCCCAAGCGATCATGATACTTGACTTCCAATTCTGTTGGTCTTCTTCATCCATCAGGTGCGGAAGCGCGACGTCGTGCTGAGGTTCCACGGGCCCCACCACCGGCACCAGCCGGTGAGAGTCCGGCAGACGAAGAACAGTTTCCCCTTCGGGGCGTGCATCAGCCGGTCGATCCTGGACAACGAGGACTTCGTTGACTTCTTCCTGAAGAACTTCACCTGGGCGGTCTTCGCCAACGAGCTCAAGTGGGCCCACACGGAGCCCCAGCGTGGGGCCCACAACTACGCCGACGCCGACGAGATGCTCGTCTTCTGCGAGCGCCACGGCATCCAGGTCCGGGCTCACTGCCTCTTCTGGGAGTGCGAGGAAACACTCCCGACTTGGGTCCGCTCCCTGAACCGGTCCGATCTCGTGGCGGCGATCCAGGCCCGAGCCGCCTCGGTGCTTACCCGCTACCGCGGCCGATTCCGGCACTGGGACGTGAACAACGAGATGCTCCACGGGTCCTTACGGGAGCGTCTAGGGGCCGATTTGTGGGTGCACATGTTCCAGCTGGTCCACCGGGCGGACCCCACCGCTGCCCTCTTCGTCAACGACTACCACGTGGAGGACGGCCGCGACCCGAAGTCCACCCCGGAGAAATATGCGCGCCACGTCCTCGACCTCCAGGACGGCGGCGCCGCCGTAGGCGGGGTCGGGATCCAGGCCCACGTGGACCGCCCCGTAGGGCCCATGATCGCCGCCGCGCTCGACCGGCTGGCGGCACTGGGGCTACCCATCTGGTTGACCGAGGTTGACGTGTCGGCGGCGGACGAGCACGTGCGGGCGGAGGACCTCGAGGTGGTGCTGCGCGAGGCCTACGCGCACCCTACCGTGGGAGGCGTGATGCTGTGGGGCTTCTGGGAGACGGCCACTTGGAGAGAGCATTCCCACCTCGTTGACGCGGAGGGCGGGGTCAACGCGGCCGGCGAGAGGTTCCTGGCTCTGAGGAGGGAGTGGCTGACGGAGGAGGAGGGGGCGGTCGACGGCGCTGGCGAGTTCAGGTTCCGAGGCTTCCACGGCACGTATGACGTGGAGGTCGCCGCCGCCGCAAGCGGGGGAAGTCAATGCTGGTCAACGTTGGTCACGATCGTCGTGGAGGAGGGGGAGTCAACGTTGGTCATAGACGTGCACTCATAGCCACTGCAAGCAGGAGACAGAAGGGGAAGTACTTCCAGTTAATTTTCGTGTACGTAGTTCTAATGTTCGTTGCAGGTAAACACGTCAGTCTGTTTTGGAAATGGTACTGAGAAGAGGTCGCTTTTCATCGCAGTTATAGACTTTGTTTTGGTTCTATATTTTTTATAATTATTGGATATCCAGCTGGTGATTTTATGGAAGTGAGTGTGGTAATGTTGGAATCTTAGGTCTAGTCGTTGACCTTCAGTACTAAGAGTGGATGAAAGATGTTTGAGATCCATGCAACACCCCAAAGGAGACCAGCCCATCTCATATGAGAAGTTGTTAGTGATGCAGCCATCTATGTACCACTTAGTGCACAGAACAAACTTAGCTCCATGATCATCTAATGGACATAGAAATGAGTTTCAGAGAAACTGTCTCTAGTAACATCACCTGTTAGAATGGCTGCTTAAGATTTCATTTGCGTGAATCATAGATGCATTAGCAGCTGGATTAATACACTAATGTCCACAGCAAAGTTAACCTTTTCTTTAAGGCTTGTATCTATGCAAATGTGGCTAGAATCCTTTGTTTCAACATCCACTTCATTCTAACACATCCTTTGTATAGCTGAAATGAAACTGATGGCCATCCTCAAAGACCACATCTAATTCTATGTGCTCCACATTTCTTTTGGATGGTGTTATCTTTCAAGTTTGCATTTTTTTTATAAACTATCTCATTATTCTGCAACAAACAAAATACTATTTTAAGTTTCCAAAAGTTCATGGGGACAACAATAAAGAAGATTCTTGACTTTTCTAGTTCGATAAATCATTTGATGTGATAAATCATTCAGTAAATGATATCTTGTGAAGAAACTTCAAAAATATAAGGTCACTCAATGATTCTTATGCTAAACTAAGAATAACACACAATAATTTAGAACTTAGATTGGGGGCAGATCTATGGTGTAAGGTGATTGTAGTTTTGCAATGTCCTTGTATTCCTACAAAGTAGACAAGTAATTACAAATTAAAAAGACGTTGCATGTTGAAAAAGTTATAAATTCATAAGAGCCATAACACATGATGTATGAAATCTTTGATTCATCTCCCTCATTGATCTGGACATGAAGTTATTCACCCTGAAATTCAATATGAGAAAAATAATGAGCTTTACCCGAATGATCGAGGATCTCCTTGATGTTGCATATTAGATTTTCACTCTTTGTTGTGACCTTGTTTAAAACTTAATACTCTACACATAATAAGAGCAATGAATCCTTCTTTTTGAGGAGGATGGGGGTGTCAGTAAGGTGTCTTAAATGTGTTGATACAATCTAACTCTAAAATTTTTTCTAGCTATCAAAATAACTCTTCTAAGTATACCAGCATCATCTTGTATGGTGTGGGTGTGTCTAATATAAGTTCAAACTCATGGTCTACCTCACACTGATAAAAAATATTAGAAAAAACATAAATAAGAGGTTGCCCATAATTAAATGCCTTAATGATGTGTTTTGTTAGAGGTTCTCTTTCTGCTCTTTCCCACCTTTAAATTTGTGCCTTGTAGATTCATCACTCAAATCTATTATTTCCACAACTAATACCCTATCAAATTGTTATTGCATCATTTCTTGTTGCATCAATTGATATTCGAGTGTGGATTGGATAAAATCATGGCTTGTGAATTCAAGTTCCTATTTTCGTTCTTCCACATCTCCAAATTCGTGTCTCGTGCATTCAAGGCTCAGATTTATTATTTTCATAACTTCTACTCCATCATTGTCATCTCAACTTTTCCTACTATATTAGTGTTGGTCTATATCGATGAGCACACTAGCATCATGCGGGTGCGCATCACATGTGCGTCCATTTGAACGTATGTGACACATTCACATGTGCACTCCACATCAGATGGTGCCATGTGCACACCTACCATAGCACACATGCACATCCACCATGCATACTCACACGTTCTATGTGTATGTGCATATCTCATGCTTGCCTCAATGCTAGCATACACCATGCTTTACACATCAAGTAGGGTGGAGGTGAGGGGACACTCCCCGTTCCCTAACTAGCCCTTTTGTTTGCTTGTACAGACCAGAGAGATCTAGGGGGACATGCTTTCTCAACCAAAGGGGACTAGAAAAGGTTCTTATCATCAAGTTCTACTGCTAGTTGACCCTCTCTACCTATTATGCGAAGGTGTCTCCTAGTCGTTACACCTTTTGGGCAGTTGTTGTCCTAACTGAATAACCATTGGGTGACGCTTTGAGCCCCCTGCCATCCGTTGAGGCCACACCGAGTGTTGCATTGTCTATAGCACATGCTGCCGCGCCAGGTTTTCTGTTTCTACCATCGTGCAGGAACAGCACTGGGTTACATTGCTGTTCCTGTGCGATGGTGCATTGCTGCCTCATTCCCACCTTGTAGGCTACATTGCGTGTCATCTGGTAGGTGAGATGATATGCGCACTGAGGCCACATTGCACCAGGTCTCCATTGCATGTTATGTCGGCTGTCCGTGAGGGGCCACCGTTGCATGTCATGCTGCCTACACGAGTTTTGTCGACTACCCACATAGTGTCACTGTTGCCGCCTGTGCTACCCACATGCATTGTGCTCCCCACCCTCAGTGCCCGTACTGGATCTGTGTACCACATTCGCATATATTTCGTGTAAGAAAGTGCGTTGGAAATGTAAAAAAAATGAAGAACTCTTCCCGTTTGACAACCAAGGAGAAAGAGCGAAAGGGAGAGTGAGAAAGCCACGAAAACTAACTACAAGCTAAGAAACTAAAGATCTAAAATGTTGAGAAAGAGATGGAGAATGATTTCCTACCTATCACACATTAAAAAAATTGAGAGAGAAGAGAGGAATGTCAAGAGAAGGAGAGAGTTTAGGAAAGAGAAGAGATAAGATAAGAAGAGTAAGAAGAGGGTGAAGAGAAGATTATCTATCATATAAGAAGTGCATGAAATATTTATATCAAAATTTGGTGGCTGTGGAGAGGGACTTGATCACTTAGGGCTGGCTCATGAATGCATAAAAACCAAAGTGCTCCGATTTTATAGCCAAAATATACTTTGTATCTCGAATATGGAAAAATAAAGAATTTAGCATCAAAACTAATTATAAATAGAAATTTAGTCATAAAATTTGAAAATAAATTTATATTAATGTATTTTTATTTTTATATTATTTATTTCTGAAATAATGATAAGAATGGATACTTTTATCTTATTTTAACTTTAAGTTATCATGTTATCAATGATCACTCCACCTAGAACTCTAACCCTTGTAATCTTAGATCTTATTGTTGAAGTCATGTCACAAGTACCTCAACAACCTATGTGACTACATTGACGACACATCACATATGTCTCTACTAGTCTACATACCACAAATCAAAATAAAAAGAAAAAAATAATTTGGAATGAAGTTGTTGCAGTCCAAATAAAAAATTGATCTATTTCAATCAACATATATCATCTTTTCTCAATCATATTCAGTATTGAGAATTAGACTATTAAGAATATTTTACATCAAGAAACTAAATATATAAATTTCTATTGTATGTTAAATATATGAGAGTGTAGATATAATTTTAATGTGCAATACAAATAAGTACTAACATGACAAGTGACCCTAGTCTTTCAGATTTAAGGTCCACTCCTCTTCTTTGCTATTTGTTTGATACAACTTAGCATCAATTTAAACAATGCCAAACACATTAGACATACATTAAAATAAGAACATCAAAAGAACTCCATACAACTAAAAAGTATTTTGTGGACTTTGAAAACCTTTAGCACCCTTGAGGTCAAGGAGAGCCCATTGTCTTGTGGGATGGGAGTAATAAGCCCATGCCATTCATTCATAGAGTTTTGGAGGATTCTAGGTGAATTCTTGTGCATGAAATCTACTTTAGAAGCTTCTATGAGATGACCACCTTAGATGGGGATTGATGGGTTCACTTGAAGTTTCATATTACCTGCGGGATGGATGTAATCCTCTGGGTAATCTATCTTCATTAATAAGACTTTGCAGAACGATTGATACTCATCTTGGACAAGTGTCAAAGCATCTTTGAAATGATAATAATTATAGCTCATGAGAAATTCCTTCAATGAGTTCATCTCTGACCTTAAACTACAAACAATCAACATTAATAAGCTACTCATTTTAGATATTTATCATTGTAAAAGTAGAAATTCTAAAAGAACTATATCATTCAACTCAATATAGAAGAATAACCAGCTGTGCAATTCACATAAAATAACATTTTGTTCTTGAGGTAGTGTCCAAAACCATAAAATAATAATAAAAACTCAAAGTCACAATGAGTGAAGTGTCATACATTTTTTAAGCAAAACTTATTTAACATGTGACGATGATAGATCATAAAGTCATACCTAAACTTGTATTTCTTAAAGAAAGCATATGTTTTGTGATTAGTAAGTTTTAATGAAAGCTTGACTAAGAAATATTTCAACCTTAAAACAATAATAAAACTCAAATCCTTAATCTCACTATTGTAGTTTACTATTCTAACATAGAAGATTTTAAACTCACATACTAATATTATCTTAGTTTAAGCATATAATTTAGTTATATCTATTTGTACTCTAGTGGCTTCCATTCATTAATATAACCAAAATATCTATGTTGGAAATAGAAATTTAATTAGGTAATTGATTTTAACCATCATGGTCAATACTCAAAGACAAACAAAGATCTTAGTCTCAATACTTACTCATCATGACCCATATACAATGTCATTACTATTTTTTCATTTATCAATCTTGTTTTATCCGAATATAACATCTAATACAAACAGAGGAGCAATCAAAAGCTGGTGGCGTCTAGTACCTTAGCTTAGTAATCTTACAAGATCATGTGGAAAAGAAACATATAAATCAACAAATGACAATTGGGGGATGATGATTTCACATGTCAATTTTTAAAGTAAGAATATTGTGACATGATGTCAAATATATAATGATTTAGT